GTATTTCAGTCTACCTCACTATCCAAGCATTATTTTATAAATTGTATTTCAGTCTACCTCACTATCCAAGCATTATTTTATAAATTGTATTTCAGTCTACCTCACTATCCAAGCATTATTTTATAAATTGTATTTCAGTCTACCTCACTATCCAAGCATTATTTTATAAATTGTATTTCAGTCTACCTCACTATCCAAGCATTATTTTATAAATTGTATTTCAGTCTACCTCACTATCCAAGCATTATTTTATAAATTGTATTTCAGTCTACCTCACTATCCAAGCATTATTTTATAAATTGTATTTCAGTCTACCTCACTATCCAAGCATTATTTTATAAATTGTATTTCAGTCTACCTCACTATCCAAGCATTATTTTATAAATTGTATTTCAGTCTACCTCACTATCCAAGCATTATTTTATAAATTGTATTTCAGTCTACCTCACTATCCAAGCATTATTTTATAAATTGTATTTCAGTCTACCTCACTATCCAAGCATTATTTTATAAATTGTATTTCAGTCTACCTCACTATCCAAGCATTATTTTATAAATTGTATTTCAGTCTACCTCACTATCCAAGCATTATTTTATAAATTGTATTTCAGTCTACCTCACTATCCAAGCATTATTTTATAAATTGTATTTCAGTCTACCTCACTATCCAAGCATTATTTTATAAATTGTATTTCAGTCTACCTCACTATCCAAGCATTATTTTATAAATTGTATTTCAGTCTACCTCACTATCCAAGCATTATTTTATAAATTGTATTTCAGTCTACCTCACTATCCAAGCATTATTTTATAAATTGTATTTCAGTCTACCTCACTATCCAAGCATTATTTTATAAATTGTATTTCAGTCTACCTCACTATCCAAGCATTATTTTATAAATTGTATTTCAGTCTACCTCACTATCCAAGCATTATTTTATAAATTGTATTTCAGTCTACCTCACTATCCAAGCATTATTTTATAAATTGTATTTCAGTCTACCTCACTATCCAAGCATTATTTTATAAATTGTATTTCAGTCTACCTCACTATCCAAGCATTATTTTATAAATTGTATTTCAGTCTACCTCACTATCCAAGCATTATTTTATAAATTGTATTTCAGTCTACCTCACTATCCAAGCATTATTTTATAAATTGTATTTCAGTCTACCTCACTATCCAAGCATTATTTTATAAATTGTATTTCAGTCTACCTCACTATCCAAGCATTATTTTATAAATTGTATTTCAGTCTACCTCACTATCCAAGCATTATTTTATAAATTGTATTTCAGTCTACCTCACTATCCAAGCATTATTTTATAAATTGTATTTCAGTCTACCTCACTATCCAAGCATTATTTTATAAATTGTATATCAGTCTACCTCTAGACAACACAGAGAGGGCACAATAAGCTCAGACCTAGAAAAAAAAATCACAGGTTGCAGTGACTGAGATTAGTGAGATATATAGCACACATATATATAGGCCTTATGCTGGCTATAGACCTAAAAATTTATATACTAATAGGCCTATATATATATATATATATATATATATATATATATATATATATATATATATATATATGTATATGAAATGTAGTGCTGAGGTTTAATGCACGTCTCAGTAAATTACTTGACAATGTTCAGCAGATTCAATAAAATTACAGTTGAAAGTGAACTCCTTAATCCTCAAGGCAATTCTAGTCCTGCATATCAAGAACATGCAGTGATTCTGAACAACAGAAATGTTGGCAACTCATGAAATTAGGGTATTTCAAATACAAGTGGTAACTCATGAAATTAGGGTAATTCAAATATATGTGGTAACTCATGAAATTAGGGTATTTCAAATACAAGTGGTAACTCATGAAATTAGGGTAATTCAAATATATGTGGTAACTCATGAAATTAGGGTATTTCAAATACAAGTGGTAACTCCATGGACCTCCCCTGCCCCCAATGCCTGGAACTGTGTCATTACCCACCACTACACCATCAGATCGACTATGGGTGTAATCCACACAGTTGCTAGGGTCAAGGTACCAAATACCAAGTTAAGGAAGTTACACTTGTAAGTATACAATACTTAGTCGAAATGTTGAAAATGATTTTATTTATTGCGGGGGGGGGGGGGGCATGTGAGGTCTTATAGCCCATCCCCTCCCCCACTAATTGTATGAATTCAGTTTGTCTAACCAGAGGTCAATGGCTGGCCTAAGCAACAAATCACATACATGGAAAAAGAGTATGTATATATATATATGTTATGTAGTATGTAGGCCTACTCAAACTGAGACTATTTATTTACTTTACTTAGTTTACTATCTTATTGTAGGCCTACTCTCCTCTGACCTGACCATAGTACACCATTAGTTAGGGGCAGTAACTGTCTGTTATGTTTCAAGTGTAGGCTAATTCATGAGATTCAAGGCGTATATTTATTATTGCAGCCTGTGATTTAATACAAGCTCCAAACTTTGATGGCTGACAGTATAGAGTCTATACTGTCAGCCATCAAAGTTTGGAGCTTGTATACTATAGACTATAGACATTATGGTAAAATCTTAGTTTAGCGTCGTAAATTCCAACGTAGCTAGTAATGTGCGATGAAGGTAACTAATGAATATTTCTTTTATTTCGCCATATTTATGTCATATTTTACATAATATAACAGATAATTGAATAACAAATCACAATCCAAGACCAAACCAGTCATAAATATCCTGGAATAAACTTTAAACTACCCCGTTCGAGACAACAATGAGTAAATACAAGCAGCGGCCATGTTTCAAAAACAATAATAGCGTAGTTTCCCTTGAAAAATTGTCTATTCGCATGTCTTTTGTGTTGATTTTGTGGTTTAATATGATTGTTTTGTATTGTTTTAATATATTTTTCTTTATTTTCAATATAGTTGACATGAATGACTAATAGACCTTTTCAGACTTAATAGTGTGCATCCAAGACCACAACAATTGTTGGGAGGTCGATCTTTTGAACACTTTATTTGCAGTAATCAAATCAATATTAGATCGCTCATAAATGACGTCGCTCTTAAGATAGTAATGACAGCGTGCATTATTACAGAACAAACATATGAACATATTGTTTCAGATAGAAATTGTGATTTGTGGTGGGGAGAGGTTGAGTAGAACTCAGCGATGTGATTTTGGAGACGGGTCAGGTTTTTTTTCTTCTGAAAACGGGATGCTTGTGGGAGAAAGACCAGCTGTAGAAGTATGACGCGTCATTCATTGGTGATCCATTTTCTCAGTGGGGAGGATAGAACTATTAAGAAGGGCCAAGAAATGTAAAAAAAAGCATGCTGAGTCGCATTTCTTGAACCCCACCTTTTCATTCCCCCACTTAGCACATCGTCACCGAGTTAATGCTCGCGCGTGACGTCATGTACCGGTACCGCCGACCGTGTGGCTAATTTTATAGAAAAAAAAAAACAAGCACTGCCGTTTTGACCTTTAAGCGACGTTTAATTTGATTACATAAGTTGGTGTTCATTAAACAGCCCCCAACACATCTATCACTTGTCCATTTAAACGTACGTGGTTATTTCTGCAAGCTTGCTGTCTTGATACTTTCGGCCCTTGAAAAATGTATTAAGCTCTCACCGTATAGAACTAGACTACCCATATTAAGCTCCAAAAGAAGCTTGGTGAAAACAGGATGGCCGCCCGATTTTGAAGCTGCTCTGCGCTTTATAAAAAGCACAATAAACGATAATATGACAGGCTTGCAACATTTGTGATTATTCGTTTTGAGCAAGGTATACGTATATTAATGCTTATTTATCGTTATTTTGATTGAACAAAGCATTATAGAGGTTCTCCGTCAACCACCAAGGTATTTTCCCCCGTTCACCTCCTTTCATGAATCATGATACCGACACGTCATAATTTGCGAAGCCGCCTGAGTTGACGTCACAAATCTTCACTCACTCCCGTAGCAAATCATATGTGACATCATTTATGGACAACCATATATCACTCACTTGGGTACTTGATATTGACGATTTGACAACAAAGGATAACCAAAATGTGTCTGGCAGGTTGAGACTTGCGATCGACCATAATGACAACACACACTTTAGGGGTGGACTGGCTCATTGTTTTAGATGATGTTTTAGGAGGGAAGCTGGTGGATAATACATTTTGTCTCTCTGTATATATAAATGATGACAAACATTTCATGTTGTCAAATTTATGGTTAGAGATCTTAGATAAGGCAGAGTGAAGCGTAATTTTTTACATTATGACTTGTTGTGACATTGACAACAAAAATAAGACGGAGGTTGGGGTTTAATTAAAGTAAAGAGAAGTAAAAAAAATGTCATAAGTTACGATAGAATCACAAGTTGCATCTCACAATGCTTCTAGAATTAATAAAGTTGTTTGTTAGGAAATTCAGTTTTTAAAGGGCAGAATTAAAATTAAAAAATGCTTTGTAATACGGACTATACAACAGGACAATCATATTTAAATACATTTTCATACGAATAGAAATGAAAGGGAAGCTACTCTAAATAACATTTTCTTAAGATGGCTGCTGTTTTTAATAGCAAATTTACTATCTCGAACAGGGTTGATAAAAATTAATTTCAGGATACTTAAATTGATTTAACCATATATGGTGATCTATTATTCAATTATCTATAATATTTTATCAAAATGTACGAAAATATACTCATATTTAATGACATATTCATTAATTCACTCTCTCCCACATTACTAGTTTTGGCCGAATTTACGACGCTAAACTAAGATTTTACCGACATTATTTTGCTGTAATTGAGTACATTACATAGATCTAGAATCTAGATTCTAGATCTAGATCTAAATCCGGAAGTGATCCTTCTGTTAAACTAGATTTCTAGATCAAAACCGAATTCAATAAAGCCACAATAAATAAAGTGGTTGAGACCGTGTGCCAGTTGGCTGGAAACTATGAGCACCAGCTGTACTGTGATATAACTTACATCTCGCGGCGTGCGTGCTCCCAAGAAAACAAACAACAAGGAAAATTTGTATTAGCCGAGCCATGTCTCCGTTACATGTCACTACACCGTCCTGACATTATTTTTGTCTCACAACACAGGTGTTGCCTGTCCGCGACACAAACTAGTTCAGCACTGGTTGTTGTTAATGGAGATAGAAAGTTTTGCTTCATTTCAAACCTACTAAACACATCGAGATACTTTTTTTAAATTAATAAGGAACATATTATTTTCTGATAGAATTAAACCTTTTATTCTATTAAAAAACACACATTTTCGGCGAATGTATTCTAGCGTAGAGATACAAAGGGAGCTACAGGTAAAGTTAAAATGTGAACTCTCCTTCTGTGAAGTTAAATCTAGGCTAGGCCTATTTATGCTTTTAAGCAGACAATAAATTATATCTGATTGGCTCTATCAATATCATGCCTACGGAGTGATACATAACACTAACTCAGCCGATTACTAATACCAGGTGGATACGTTGTGTTCGGCTTTAATTTAAACGGTGTCAAGAAAAATGGATCGTGAATGCTCAATTTTAATTTTGCGCCCCATATATATATATATATATATATATATATATATATATATATATATATATATATATATATATATATATATATATATATATACAGTGTTTCTTCCAGACTTTTTTCTCCGGGGGGGCACTTGAAATTTTCGGGGGGGGGGGGGGGTGCGGTAGACTTTCTTCGGGGGGGGGGCGGACACTGTTAAAAGTATATATTTTCTATATAAATTATATAAATTTCATTTCGTTCGTGGGGGGGGGGGGGCGGTAAAAAATTTTCGGGGGGGGGACAAAGGCCCCCCCCCCCGAAGAGATGCCTGGAAGAAACTCTGTATATATACATGTAAACATTGAGTGTACATTAATCACTTACCGAAATAGTATGTTAGAACACACTTCGGTGACCGCCCATGTGTCAGAGACGTACAGGGGCGCTCTCAGGGCCCCCACCCCCCGATTACACTACCGCATAGGCGCGGCGTACGACCCCTGGCTCCTTAAAAGTAATAGGCGCCATTGTGCCAAAAAGCATCCTGTTAATAATGATGCAGATTTCATCATTGGCTAAAGTGCCACAAATGAACAGGCTTTTTTTCTTTAACACGTAAAAAGTATTTGACATGTTTTAAACATCAGTGTGACTGATGCAATATGCTAGCGTTACTAATGGTCTATTATTAGATGCTCGATCTCAATTTCTGACTGGATTGTCTAATAATAGATGCTTATTGCATCATTCGCAAAGTGACGAAACTCTACAGTAGGCTCCTCATATTCAAAAGTTATTTTTTCATCTTTCGCAAGGTGACGAAACTGTACAGTAGGCTCCTCATATTCAAAAAGTTATTTTTTCATCTTTCGCAAGGTGACGAAACTGTACAGAAGGATTTCCTACTTTAAATGCATTTTACATCATAGCGAAGCAATAACATACAGCTAATATATATATATATATATATACTTAAATGGAAAATATTAAAAACTCAGCGCCTATCACTGTTAAAAGTATATATTTTCTATATAAATTGTATAAATTTCATTTCGTTTGGGGGGGGGGGAGGGGGGGGGGGCGGTAGACATGTCCAAACTAATCCCAGACACTAATGCCAGACATGTCCAAACTAATGCCAGACATGTCCAAACTAATGCCAGACATGTCCAAACTAATCCCAAACATGTCCAAACTAATCACAGACATAACATGTTTTAAAAATGTTTGTATAGCATTTCAAGTTCATCGAAAATTGTGAAAATAAGTATATGTCAACAAGCAAGGTCGTCAAACGTATATAAACACTTGGGCTTGTTTTGTGCAATGTTTTCTTGCGTTCTTTTATTTTTTATGATTTGTTGTATTTATATTATTAACAAGCGTACCCGTCCCCGCGCGTGGCCGCGGAAATAGAAGAAAGTCTTTAGAAATATATAAGAAGGGTTTCATCAATGCGTTACCAATCATATATTCTTAGACTCCTATCCTTTTTTTTGTAAAAGTGAGTTATTTAAATGTAAACAATGTCTGCGCTTGAATCATACATATCGGGACACGTGTTTACCTACACTACCGCATGAAAATTTTGAGTGTACGTAAATCACCAACAGAAATAATGAGGTAGAACACACTTTGCTGACCACCCATGTGTCAGTGACGTATAGGGGCGCTCTCTGGAGCCCTCGATTACACTACCGCAGAGGCGCCTTGATATAAACATCAGTGTGACTGATGCAATTTGTAGCTTTACTAATGGTGCATTTTTAGAAGCTCAATCTTAATTTCTGATTGGATCGTCTAAAAATAAATTGCATCATTCGCAAAGTGACGAAACTGTTTGGGCTTTTTTTTACGGATAAAAGGAAACAAACCAGTTAATAATCTAACCTTGGTTAATTTTTCTGATTATTAAGAAGAATATATTACAGGACCTTCAGCGGCTCATGTGAGCCTTTGGGGGCCGAAACTGAAATTTATGTTCGCAGCCAAATCGCACCCAAAGGTCGCCGGTGGACACGTCTGATTCAATGTAGTAAGCGACTGTAGCAACCCATCTTACCCATTGTCTATCATACTGTTTAGAACGAACGTAGTCGACATAGAGATCACGGGTAAGACCAGAGCGCCAAATCGCATCCGGCCGGGGGCCGTCCGTGCGAAATTAAATCCCCCCTTCCCCCCCCCCCATGAAACATTATCGAGAGCATTCATCAACTCCCTAAACTTTTATGGCGATCGGATGAACGGTGTCAAACGCAATCGAGTTTTTATTTATATTTTATATTTTATTTATATTGAGAAAATCAGCACACACCCGGGGCGCCACCCCTGCGAATTTGAAATTTTGTTTTGCCCAGAAACCTCCCCAGGAGTATTCTAAACATTTTCCAAAGTTTCATGGCGATCGTGTGAACGGTGTCACGGCAATTCACTTTTATAATTTTTATATACCGTAAATAGAAAAAAAAAATCGCACCCTCCCACATCTCTCAGGTCAAATTAATGATTCCTGACAGATATAGAAATGAATTCTGAATAAAATAACATTCCCCATTTAAAAACATTCGAAAAAGTCGGCACATGGGCAGTGGCAAGCATGGGATTGTTGCCACGGGGCTGTGGGGCTGGGCCTGGTGCCCAAGCGGCTGTCCGTTTACTTTCTACTGTACATATTCTAAATGTCCTCTGATAGTTGTTTTAATTCTGTTTAAAGTGGTTTTTCTTTACATTATGATATTTGATATGAGTTTTGAAAATGAAATAATACAACTATTAATATTTGTGCAAGGAGCTTGAAAGCCGCATCTTCACTGCAAAAGAGCCGCATGCGGCTCGCGAGCCGCAGGTTGCCGACCCCTGAGCTATACCGCTCTTTAGAGTGTCTTATTTAAATAATAAAGAGAAGCATCTATGGGCATCCATATTTTAAAGAAGGGCAATAAGTTATGGAAGTAGTGAGTGCCGATACTACAGCACATGTAGATTTTAAAAAATATTTTTCTACGCAACAGTGTGTGTTATGGTTACTTTAGCTATAGTTAACCTTTTTTTTTTAAATTTTTTTTAAACCACTATCAAAAAAAAAAATTATGAAAAAAAAAATTCATTTAATTTTGGTGTTCAATTGGGCCCCATAAACAGCTTGCACCGCCCCCCCCCCCTCTTGCAGTGCCGGGTCTGGCGGTATGATAGTTCCACCCTTGCATGAGGGTGAGCATCATTAGGAAACAAAATAGTGCCAGAAAAAAACTCGCACAAAGTAGGCCTATAAAGTGTATATTTGATTTATTCAAGTCAAAATGAGTAAACAGTATATGAGGTTGATATTATTATATTAGGCATAACAGACAATCTTATGCCAATATTGTATATAGAAGATAATAAATATATCACAGTTTTTAACATTTTGATACATGCAAGCACAGAACAGAATATTAATTTAAAAAACTCAACTTGATGTATCCCATTGACGTCACTGAATAAAAAACCTTAGTGCCACTTTTTTCTGATGTTCTGTACAAACGACGTGGCCCACGTCTGCGTAAAGCACGTGACTCAATGGATTCAAGCTATTTACACATTCACACATGGGCAAACTGCTCATCAACTCACATTCATTCCGCTCATCTTTATTGGATTTATTTTTTGTTACAATTTGACACAATGTAACTGTTACTTTTTCTTTTGATAAAGTTTGTCCTTGACACAATTTAGCTGTTACTTTTTCTTTTGATAAAGTTTGTCCTTGACACAATGTAACTGTTACTTTTTCTTTTGATAAAGTTTGTCCTTGACACAATGTAACTGTTACTTTTTCTTTTGATAAAGTTTGTCCTTGACACAATGTAACTGTTACTTTTTCTTTTGATAAAGTTTGTCCTTGACACAATGTAACTGTTACTTTTTCTTTTGATAAAGTTTGTCCTTGACACAATGTAACTGTTACTTTTTCTTTTGATAAAGTTTGTCCTTGACTTTCCTTAAAGTTCCGGCTAAAGAGCCGGAATGCCGGCTGAAATTGTTGCCTTGAACCGCCGCCACCGCGTGGAGGTCACGGTCACTGTACTCGCTCAGGCTGCGCTGTAGCGCCATCTGTAGGTCAAGGTCAGGCTGGAAACCGTACTCGTGGTCTCGAAATATCCGGAACTGATCCACCGCTTCACATATAGACCTGTAGAGGACACATATAGACCTGTAGAGAGCAGCACATATAGACCTGTAGAGAGCAGCACATATAGACCTGTAGAGAGCAGCACAATGGTAGTAAAGGTACCAGGAAGTCAAGTGTCATTTACACCTTTGACATCCCCCCAACTGTCCTAAATGTCACTGACCATCATGTTATTAGCTGTCCTAAATGTCACTGACCCTCATTTCATTAGCTGCCCTAAATGTCACTGACCATCATGTCATTAGCTGTCCTAAATGTCACTGACCCTCATGTCATTAGCTGCCCTAAATGTCACTGACCATCTTGTCATTAGCTGCCCTAAATGTCACTGACCCTCATGTCATTAGCTGCCCTAAATGTCACCGACCATCATGTCATTAGCTGCCCTAAATGTCACTGACCATCATGTCATTAGCTGCCCTAAATGTCACCGACCATCATGTCATTAGCTGCCCTAAATGTCACCGACCATCATGTCATTAGCTGCCCTAAATGTCACTGACCATCATGTCATTAGATGTCCTAAATGTCACTGCCCCTCATGTCATTAGCTGCCCTAAATGTCACTGACCATCATGCCATTAGCTGCCCTAAATGTCACTGAACATCATGCCATTAGCTGCCCCAAATGTCACTGCCCATCATGTCATTAGCTGCCCTAAATGTCACTGACCGTATCTTGTCCCACTTGTACATGCCGTTAGCCAGCGTGAAGCTTCCAATCTCCAGCTGTTGCAGCTGTAGCAGGGAGTAGAGGATGCTGGGAATGCAAGGGTAGATGTGGCAGTCCTTCTCCGACATCAGCCACAGGGCCTCACTTTTTAATTTCATCTGAAAAATAATCAAACTTTAGCCACAGATTTTTCTTGAAACAAAGCAACCACTCTTTAGAAAGAGTGGTTTGTATGACAATCAAATCTTTGAATGGTGGACCTCGTAACCGTATACTGCCTATGCCCCTGCTAACTGTTGTCTACACTTACAGTACAGCCTGCCAGTATTACATCTAATAAAAAACTGAAACTTACGAATATCAATATTTATTTGTTTGTTTAAAAAAAATATTTTTTTATTTTTGTGATTAACAACTGAGAAACCTTGACATTGGTTAGTTCGTCCATATATGCCAGATACTTGGCTGGAATATTCTTCCAGACGGCCAGCTGTCTGACCACCAGGTTCTCGAGGCCATCCAGGATGGACAGAGCGCTGGCAAAGTTCCTGACATTCAAGCACATCTTAGCCACGCTCAGAAACTTGATGACCAGCACCGACTGAGTCTGAGGATTCAAAGTTTGATGGGAGAAATGTTTTGATTCAAAGTTTGATGGGAGAAATGTTTTGATTCAAAGTTTGATGGGAGAAATGTCTTAATACAAAGTTTGATGGGAGAAATTTTTTAATTGAAAGTTTGATGGGAGAAATGTTTTAATACAAAGTTTGATGGGAGAAATGTTTTGATTCAAAGTTTGATGGGAGAAATGTTTTGATTCAAAGTTTGATGGGAGAAATGTTTTGATTCAAAGTTTGATGGGAGAAATGTTTTGATTTAAAGTTTGATGGGAGAAATGTTTTGATTTAAAGTTTGATGGGAGAAATGTTTTAACCACATGGTGTTACAGACATGTCCAGTTTCAGGTCACCTAGGAGCAGACGTGTCAGGTCACCGAGCAGCGGACGTGGGGCTGCAACAATGTCTCACCTTATTTGTGCCGCAGCTTAAAATTTCAGCCGAGACCCAATGGGCCAGCTCTTGTGAGTGAGAAATCATGGCAAGTATCTCGGAGCCCGTCACGGGGTCCCCTACAAACAGCCCTTTCTTCTGCCCAGAGGCGGATTCAGATTTTCTAAAAACAAAATAGAAGAAAACAGCTTATGACAATCAGACCTATGGACAATGACCATCAGTTTATTAAAATGTTCATCAACTCACCAACTCACCTGACCATCAACTCACCTGGTCACCTGACTATCAATTGATCAACTGACCATCAGTTGACCAGGTGAGTTGATGGTCAGTTGATCAACTGACCATCAACTCGCCTGGTCAAATGACCATCAACTCACCTGATCAACTGACCATCATTTGATCAACTGACAATCAACTCACCTGGTCAACTGACCATCAACTCATCTGGTCAACTGACCATCAACTCACCTGATCAACTGACCATCATTTGATCAAATGACCATCAACTCACCTGGTCAACTGACCATCAACTCACCTGGTCACCTGACCATTAACTCATCTGGTCAACTGACCATCAACTCACCTGATCAACTGACCATCAACTCACCTGGTCAAATGACCATCAACTCAGAAGAAGTCACAGAGTTTGAAAAACTCAAATCTCTGGTCCTGAGGGAAGAATTTCTGAATTCCCTACCCGAAGAAATCCGTCTACATATCCTCGATAATAGGATAGTCGACATCAAGAAGGCTGCTGAGTCGGCAGACACATACATGCTGGTTCATAAAAGACCACAAGTGTCAAGTAACCGCCTCAATCCTGTACTCCCCCTTGTTGGCAACAGTTTTCCTGTTGGCCAATCTCTGAAGTCGCTCCAGTCAATAGAGAGGCCCAGAACCACCACCAGTCGACGAGCAGTATGCCAATACTGTAAGAAACCTGGACATCTCATAAAGGACTGTTATAAGCGGCATCAAGTCAACAGAGAGGTTGTGCGTACATCAGCGCATAACTCTCTCCTCCATCAGGCAGCCAGTTCAAATTTGAACTCGACTCTTCGGAATGACACTAACCCTAAGTGTCCACAGGAAAAGAATCAAGTTCCCACCACATATGTTCAGTCATCTTTTGACTGTCCACTCCACCGACCAGTTTCTTCAGAGGCAACCGATCTCGAGGGATCGAGAAAGGTTGGCTTCTCATCGTTCCTTGCAGAAGCTGTCATTAGCAACCCTGGCGATCCGTCGTCAAAGCGGAACATAAATGTCCTGAGAGACACAGGGGCTTCACAGTCGCTTCTATTGAAGGACTCAATGGACATTACGCCGGAGACGAACACCGGGAATGTTACCATTATTCAAGGAGTGGGGTCAGAACCCGCTGTAGTACCTTTGCACAAGTTTAACCTGAAAGATCATCTTGTCCAAGGAGAGGTCATCCTAGGGGTGATCGAAAGTATCCCTGTACCAGGAGTGCACCTGCTCCTAGGGAACGACTTAGCGGGAAGCAAAGTCTACCCCCATACGGTTCAAAACCCGTTGTCAACAGTTCCATATGATGATAATGAACTGTATCCTGCATGTGTGGTGACAAGAAGCCAGACCAAACAGTTGGCTGATACAGCGACTGATCCACACGAATCATCATCAGGAAATCCAGCTCCCAAACTGGAACCTATGCCTCTAGAGGGTCCATTCATGGAATTGCCTCTGAGGATATCTCATGATGACATCGTTAAGGCTCAACAAGACGACGCAGAACTCCAATCGGTGGTCGAGAAATCCCTCTCAGCTGACGATGGGGAGTATTTCACCGCGAACGACCTGATCTTCCGTCGTGTTTTACCAATGACTGCCTCACCTGCCGAACCATGGTTGGGAAAAAACCAACTGTGGGTCCCTCCACCTTATCGGCAAGAAATCCTGAAACTGGCCCATGACAACCCGATGTCAGCGCATCCAGGGGTCACGAAAACAATGGCGAAGATCAAGGAACTGTTTTTTGGCCGAAAATGAGAAATGATGTGTCGCGTTACTGTAAACGTTGCACGAACTGTCAGTTGGCCGGGAAACCCAATCAGAAAATCCCGGACAAGCCCCCACTTTTATTACGAAACACCACTCTATCAGCCAGATAGCTGGCGAACGTACCCGGGTTCGTTTAGATGGTTATACACAGATGGCTTAAAGCCCTATAAATGGTAGCTAGCACAACAGTTAACGAGGACACTTACTTAACGTCTAGGGGATACACTCGATGAACTCCTGATACCAACAACACATTTAATCCATATATAACTTTTAATATGTGTACAAATTCAAGATAAGACTCTAGCTTTATACAGAATAAAATGAATGAGTAAAATAACAAAAACCCAACTTACTATTTGAGGAAAAAACACTATGTTACACTATCACAGGATATGGCACTCAAGAAAATCACCATAGCTTATACGACACTACTTAAAGCACAAAGTATTACTTAAAACCACAAGTAATAAGGGAAAAATGCTGCTTAAAAACTATAGGCTACAAAATAGCGACACTCAAGGCTTTCTCTCTCAAAGATGTCTGGTCTGACTACTGCTATGGACTGCTGCGGTCGGTTCTGCCTTCAGAAAAGTGTGCGCAGCTTATTTGACACCTGAGGCAACATGGGAGGTCACCTTCAAAACATAAGACTATTGGTTGGGACACCTCCGATGTCCGAATCAACCAATCGAAAGTATAAAAGTATTGCACCACCACTCGTGATGGAAAAGTACTGGGTATATGTCTTTCTTGGAACTATGGAAAAGTACCGGTGGTTGCACCACAGGTCACTCATGGTTGAGCAATAAAAGTCAAACTTAAAAAATAAGACCTAAGTAGGTCACATGATCAAATGACCATCAACTCACCTGGTCACCTGACCATCATTTGATCAACTGACCATCAACTCACCTGGTCAAATGACCATCAACTCACCTGGTCACCTGACCATCATATGATCAAATGACCATCAACTCACCTGGTCATAGATGGAGTTCGTAGCCCTGGCATAGAAAGCGCCACACCCACCCCATGGAACTGTGAGTTCAAAAAATGAACTGGGTGACATTTTCTGAACAAATCCTGAGGAGGTAAACGTGAACTTTTCTGTTAGTTCACTGCCCAAGCCTCTCAATAGATGTACACCACAGTGCACAACACCACACCACACCACACACCTCTCAACAGACAGACACCACACCACACACCTCTCAACAGACAGACACTACACACCTCTCAATAGATGTACACCACACTGCACAACACCACACCACACAACACCCCTCAACAGACACCACACCACACACCTCTCAATAGATGTACACCACACTGCACAACACCACACCACACAACACCCCTCATCAGACACCACACCACACACCTCTCAACAGACAGACACCACACCACACACCTCTCAACAGACGGACACCACACCACACACATCTCAACAGACAGACACCACACAACACCCCTCAATAGACACCACACCACACACCTCTCAACAGACAGACACGACACCACACACCTCTCAACAGACGGACACCACACCACACACCTCTCAACAGACAGACACCACACCACACACCTCTCAACAGACGTACACCACACTGCACAACACCACACCACACCACACACCTCTCAACAGACAGACACCACACAACACCCCTCAACAGACACCACACCACACACCTCTCAATAGATGTACACCACACTGCACAACACCACACCACACCACACACCTCTCAACAGACAGACACCACACCACACACCTCTCAACAGACAGACACCACACCACACACCTCTCAACAGACAGACACCACATCACACACCTCAACAGACGGACACCACGATGTTGTACCTGCTCTATGAGACATAGCTGCTCAGCAAGGTTGTGAGGTGGACAGTCACTCAGGGAGAAATGACCCCCACTCTGACCCCCACTCTGACCCCCACTCAGTTTGGGCACAGAGTTGGTTCTTCTAGAAATGACTCCAAAGTTCATCTTCTCGGTCTTAGAATTTTTGAGCAGGGATCTAAAACTGTCCCACTGGAAAATAAAAGGATAACATTTTTGAGCAGGGATCTAAAACTGTCCCACTGGAAAATAAAAGGATAAAATTTTTGAGCAGGGATCTAAAACTGTCCCACTGGAAAATAAAAGGATAAAACTTTTGAGCAGGGATCTAAAACTGTCCCACTGGAAAATAAAAGGATAAAATTTTTGAGCAGGGATCTAAAACTGTCCCACTGGAAAATAAAAGATAATGCTGGGAGTTGAAGGTTCCTGAGATCGTGTGTTTCATTTGTTAGAAAAATGTCTTACTGGGTGGGATGTTGATAATGTAAGCTGGTAAAAAAAAATAAAAAAATGGTTACTGAGGTTAAATCAAAGTTTAATTTAGTTGCAAACAGAAGCAGACACAACTCATTGCTTTAGTGAAGCTACTGACCCACCTACTCAGTGTGAAGGCAAGTGTGATGCTAATATGCTACATTCAACTACGTCAGCCAGAAAACATTTGTTTTGGTGATAAATAGTATTGATACATTTCATGACTGATAGCATTAATACATTTCATGACTGATAGTATTGATACATTTCATGACTGATAGCATTGATACATTTCATGACTGAATTGAAATAATAAAACATAAAAAAAAATCTGTTGAAGTCAGATAAAACGTTAGGGTCATCCATTTATGGCGTCCACAGGGCGTCCAAACAAAATCGACTTTTGTGGACTGGGTGGGGGGACAAGGTGGACGTCCACATGCTGAATTTAACATCAAAATACGTGCATTTAAAAAAATTGTGCATTTAAAATGTATCAATGAAATCAGCACTTCTCGTGTTGAAAGTCACCAGCTCAACGGGTGAATAAATGTATCAGAAACGTAACAGTATACAGCCCGCCTAAGTTAAAAAGTGACAAATTTTTTTACAAGCGAGAGGGGGGGAAGACAGTCGGCAATTTTCTACGATAGTTCATGGTATTTCAAGTTTTTCTTTAAACATTTAAGAGAATTGAAGAATAAGTTTAAATTACAGTTAGATCTAGACCTAAGCCTTGATAGATAGTACAACCAAATAGTAGGCCTACATCATTATTTTGTGTCAAAAATAAATATTAATAAAATGTAATACCTTGCATTTTTTTTCGGTGTGGCAAAAAAAAAACATTAAAATAAAGCAAACGCTTATCATCTTAATTTATACTAAGTAGTTTAAAATATATTTATTTTTTTCAACACTTTCCGGCCTCTACTTTTAATCTTTAGGCGTGGTGAGAGATGTTACCGAAATTTTCAAATTCCTATATTACATTATTCATTTATAGCAAGGCACACACTACATGTCAATGAATTAGTAATTTGGCAGCATGGTTGAGTGTGAACGTCCACCATTGGGGGGGGGGGGGGGGGAAAGTTCGTCGAAAAAGGAGGCATGTGGACAGAGGAGGGTGGGTCTAAAATTCCAAATTTTTGTGGACGTCATTAATGGATGACCCCTCACACTCTATTAATAGAATACTATAATCTGTAACATATAACATTAATTTCTGTCAAATAAATCACAATATTCTATTTAATAATTTTTTTTTTACTTTAATCTTAAAAGCTAAACAAGTAAAACACGAAGGGTCCCGCTTCCTAGCATGTTACGGTCTCTGTAAGTTAGAAGCCTAAATGGTTTTATTAAATGTGCTTGATTAGGTAGGTGGCGCTTTTAGCAGCCACTAGTTTTTTTGCTTTGGTGACATAATTTGCGTATAATTTAACACATCAGCATAAAATGAGTTTTTATTTTTTTCTACTCCTTTCGGCGCCCCTTTGGGTTGGCGCCCGGGGTGAATGCCCCACCCCAGCTCCTTGCTACGCCTCTGTTAATACTTAATTTGTGCATTTCTAAATTGAAATTGAGATAAAAAACATATTTAACAATTCATATAATAATACTTTTTAATTGCACTGAAAATAGACTTGCATAGTTTAGTAAAAGCATGTTTGGCTACAGCATGTTAGAGATTTCAAAAGTACAATCAATACAGTTTAGTTTATTTAAATGCTTATTGTTATAAAGTTTTAAATTTTTTTTTATTTTAATCTCTACTTTTTAGCAATCATCAATTAAAAGGGATTAAAACAGTAAGGTCATCTTTTAGTTTTCGAAACAAATGTTAGTCCTAATTTTAAATTCCATCCTTTCTTCAGAGGTGGACACCAGTAGGACCGTAGAATTCACTGGGATAAAAGAGGTGGACACCAGTACTACCGTAGAATTCACTGGGATAAAAGAGTGTCGGAGTTGAGTGACGAGATTTGCATCATACCCACACACAGACGGCTGGGAGCTGATTAAAAGCTTACAGTAGCAAAGTATCTGTTTACAAAATGTAACAGTAGCAAAGTATCTGGTTACAAAATGTAACAGTATCAAAGTATCTGGTTACAAAATGTAACAGTAGCAAAGTATCTGGTTACAAAATGTAACAGTAGCAAAGTATCTGTTTACAAAATGTAACAGTATCAAAGTATCTGGTTACAAAATGTAACAGTATCAAAGTATCTGTTTACAAAATGTAACAGTATCAAAGTATCTGGTTACAAAATGTAACAGTATCAAAGTATCTGGTTACAAAATGTAACAGTATCAAAGTATCTGGTTACAAAATGTAACAGTATCAAAGTATCTGTTTACAAAATGTAACAGTATCAAAGTATCTGTTTACAAAATGTAACAGTATCAAAGTATCTGGTTACAAAATGTAACAGTATCAAAATATCTGGTTACAAAATGTAACAGTATCAAAGTATCTGGTTACAAAATGTAACAGTATCAAAGTATCTGGTTACAAAATGTAACAGTATCAAAGTATCTGGTTACAAAATGTAACAGTATCAAAGTATCTGGTTACAAAATGTATTTTCACTAGATCGTAAATGAGATGTCCAATAATAGACTTTTTTACAAACTTATTAAAGTTTAACATTTTATTTAGTTCTTTTATTGAATTTTTGACAAACTTATTTACGAACATTGCCCCCCCCCCTCCCCCCCCCCCCCAGCTACTACAGACTACTCTTAAACAACATAGAAAAAAAATTATCGGAGGAATTTCTAACATTTCTTGGCAACTTTTGGAACAATAAGCGAAATAAATAATAAGACTTAAACACACAGCATTGGGCACTCATTGACTTAAAGCAGTGAACACGAGAAGGTTAAAGCTGGAGGTTAGAGTGTGAGTGTGTGGGGGTGTGAGGGTGTGGGGGTCTGAGAGTGTGAGGGTGTGAGGGTGTGTGATGGTGTGAGTGTGTGGGGGTGTGAAGATGTGGGTGTGTGAGGGTGTGTATGATGGTGTGAGTGTGTGGGGGTGTGAAGATGTGGGGGTGTGAGGGTGTGTATGATGGTGTGAGTGTGTGGGGGTGTGAGGGTATGAATGTAGGGTGTGAGGGTGTGAGGATGTGGGGGTCTGAGGGTGTGATGGTGTGAGGATGTGTGTGATGGTGTGAGTGTGTGTGTGATGGTGTGGGGGTGTGAGGGTGAGGATGTGGGGTGTGGGGGTGTGAGTGTGTGGGGGTGTGAGGGTGTGATGGTGTAAGGGTATGTCTGATGGTGTGAGTGTGTGGGGGTGTGAAGATGTGAGGATGTGAGAGTGTAAGGGTGTGAGAGTGCGAGGGTGTGAGAATGAGAAAGTGTGAGGGTGTGAGAGTGAGAAAATGTGTGGGTATGAGAATGTGAGGGTGTGAGAGTGTGAGGGTGTGAGAGTGAGAGGGTGTGAGAGTGAGAAAGTGTGAGGGTGTGAGAACAACAAACAGTGAGCTGCAAGGTGTTAGTAGACAACACATAAAAACAAGAAAACAACAGAAGTTACCTCTAGTTGCCACTGGTTGTTAGACTAGAAAAATGGTGAAAAAAATGGCTCCATGATAGTGTTAGTTTTTAGATTGTCAGTCTTTGTCTCATTGTCATTATTAGTCTTTGTCTAATGGCCATTACTCTTTGCCTAATGGCAATTGTTAGTCTTTGTCTCATGGCCATTGTTAGTCTTTGTCTCATGGCCATTGTTAGTCTTTGTCTCATGGCCATTAGTCTTTGTCTAATGGCCATTGTTAGTCTTTGTCTAATGGCCATACCCAGAGGTCAACGGTCACTGTTAGACTGTCTAGTGACCAAAGTTCATTCAACCCGACCAATGTATGCTTGTGGTCAAAGTTCATTCAACCCGACCAATGTATGCTTGTGGTCAAAGTTCATTCAACCCGACCAATGTATGCTTGTGGTCAAAGTTCATTCAACCCGACCAATGTATGCTTGTGGTCAAAGTTCATTCAACCCGACCAATGTATGCTTGTGGTCAAAGTTCATTCAACCCGACCAATGTATGCTTGTGGTCAAAGTTCATCATACAGACGTAAAGAACCGTAGATGAAGTAGAGTCAATATGTTAGGCCATCGCTACTGGCGTCTAGCCAAGGTTGCGCTGTCAACCGATAATTTACAGTCCCTAGAGGTAGATGGGCAGACACCCCCACACCATTGGGCCTATTTTTTGCCTTGATTAAAACTAATCTTTGTAGCTTTGTTTAGAGCTAATTATTTTGTAGGTTTGTTTAGAGCTAATTTTCAACAGCTTTTATTTAACTTGCTTCCTCTGTCTGTCGTCAGTCTGTCTAGATCGAAACGCCTGACCAAAAATTCGGGCACTTCTAACTGACAGAAACGGTCCAAAGTTGTCATGTGGGTCAAGACACGAAGACAATGCAACATGACATTAAATTTAAATTCATTGGATGTCTAATTAATTTTTATGAATAATATAATTAAGAATTTGTCCAAATTAGTAGGCTGTCTCATCCAACTAGTCCGCACTATTATACACGCGTCATCACGTTCATTAGGTGCGCAATGGTTTTTAGTCATGCAACTCTATTATAAATTTAGAAAATTTAAAGTACTGAAAAAATTCAGAAAAAAGGTTTTAGTAACAAGCTTTTATGTAATAATGCACTAAAAAGTAGAAAAAAATTATACACTACTATTTAAATAACTATAAAGAAAAACGTGGGTCTCTTCCTAAATATTAGTAAAAGTATCCAATAGGTACTAAAGTGACCCGCGCTTTGCTCTATAGTTATTTAAATAGTAGAGTATAATTTATTTTCTACTTTTTAGTGCATTATTACATAAAAAGCTTGTTATTAAAACGTTTTTACTGAATTTTCTATCTATGTTTGTTTAGAGCTATTTATTTTGTAGGTTTGATTAGAACTAATTATTTTGTTGGTTTGTTTAAAGATAATTATTTTCTAGGTTTGTTTAAAACTAATTATTTTATAGGCGTGGTTTTGTGTGGAGAGGTGCGGACTGATGTGTACCCTCTTAGGTGAGGTGTGGTGTCGCGAGGTGTGGTGTGGTTTGATGTGGTACCGTCTTAGGTGTGGTGAGGTGTGGTGTAGTGTGGACTGATGTGTTACCCTCTTGAGTGTGGTGAGGTGTGGTGAGGAGTGGCGAGGTGTGGTGTGGCGTGGTGAGGTGTGGGCTGATGGGTTACCCTCTAAGGTGTGGTGAGGTGTGGTATGGTGTGGTGTGGCGAGGTATGGTGTGGTATGCGGAGGTGTGGTGTGGTGTGGTGTGTCGAGGTGTGGTGTGTCGAGGTGTGGTGTGGTGTGTCGAGGTGTGGTGTGGTGTGGCGAGGTGTGGTGTGGTGTGTCGAGGTGTGGTATGGTGTGGCGAGGTGTGGTGTGGCGAGGTGTGGTGTGGTGTGTCGAGGTGTGGATTGATGTGTTACTCTCTTAGGTGTGGTGAGGTGTGGTGTGGTGTGGCGAGGTGTGGTGTGGTGTGGCGAGGTGTGGTGTGGTGTGTCGAGGTGTGGTATGGTGTGGCGAGGTGTGGTGTGGCGAGGTGTGGTGTGGTGTGTCGAGGTGTGGATTGATGTGTTACTCTCTTAGGTGTGTTGAGGTGTGGTGTGGTGTGGCGAGGTGTGGTGTGGTTTGATGTGGTACCGTCTTAGGTGTGGTGAGGTGTGGTGTGGTGTTGACTGATGTGGTACCCTCTTAGGTGTGGTGAGGTGTGTTACCCTCTTAGGTGTGGAGAGGTGTGGTGTGGTCTGATATGTTACGTTTTAAGATGTGTCGAGGTATAATGTGATGTCGTGAGGTGTGATGTGTTACCCTCTTATGTGTGGCGAGGTGTGGTGTGGCGAGGTGTGGTGTGGTGTGGTGTGGTGTGGGCTGATGTGTTACCCTCTTATGTGTGGCGAGGTGTGGTGTGGCGAGGTGTGGTGTGGCGAGGTGTGGTGTGGTGTGGGCTGATGTGTTACCCTCTTATGTGTGGCGAGGTGTGGTGTGGCGAGGTGTGGTGTGGCGAGGTGTGGTGTGGCGAGGTGTGGTGTGGCAAAATGTGGTACGGTGTGGGCTGATGTGTACCCTCTTATGTGTGGCGAGGTGTGGTGAGGTGTGGTGTGGTGAGGTGTGGTGTGGGCTGATGTTTTACCCTCTTAGGTGTGGTGAGGTGTGGTGAGGTGTGGACTGATGAGTTACCCTCTTAGGTGTGGTGAGGTGTGGACTGATGAGTTACCCTCTTAGGTGTGGTGAGGTGTGGTGAGGTGTGGACTGATGAGTTACCCTCTTAGGTGTGGTGAGGTGTGGTGAGGTGTGGACTGATGTTTTACCCTCTTAGGTGTGGTGAGGTGTGGTGAGGTGTGGACTGATGAGTTACCCTCTTAGGTGTGGTGAGGTGTGGACTGATGAGTTACCCTCTTAGGTGTGGTGAGGTGTGGTGAGGTGTGGACTGATGAGTTACCCTCTTAGGTGTGGTGAGGTGTGGTGAGGTGTGGACTGATGTTTTACCCTCTTAGGTGTGGTGAGGTGTGGTGAGGTGTGGTGAGGTGTGGACTGATGTGTTACCCTCTTAGGTGTGGTGAGGTGTGGTGAGGTGTGGTGAGGTGTGGACTGATGTGTTACCCTCTTAGGTGTGGTTAGGTGCAGGAAATAAACGTGCTCCTCCTCCTGGTCCTCGTCCATCTCCGTCATGAGCATCAGCTCACAGTTGTCGCCCCTGGTGCAGGCGGCCATCAAACTCTGCAGGTTGTCTGCCCCTTCGGCCTTCTCATCTACCTGCGCTCATGGAAACATCAAACATGATAGTAAAGTCAAACATCTTTGATGAAGTAAAGTCAAACATCTTTGATGGTAGTAAAGTCAAACATCTTTAACTTGTTTTATAATTTAAAAAAGATTCTCCAAAAATTCTATTATATGTACCAACCTGCGCCTGTATGTGTATGTACCAACCTGCGCCTGTATGCACTAACCTGCGCCTGTATGTGTATGTACCAGCCTGCGCCTGTATGTGTATGCACCAACCTGCGCCTGTATGCACCAACCTGCGCCTGTATGTACCAACCTGCGCCTGTATGTGTATGTACCAGCCTGCGCCTGTATGTGTATGCACCAACCTGCGCCTGTATGTGTATGCACCAACCTGCGCCTGTATGTGTATGCACCAACCTGCGCCTGTATGTACCAGCCTGCGCCTGTATGCACCAACCTGCGCCTGTATGCACCAACCTGCGCCTGTATGTACCAACCTGCGCCTGTATGTACCAACCTGCGCCTGTATGCACCAACCTGCGCCTGTATATAACAACCTGCGCCTGTATGTACCAGCCTGCGCCTGTATGCACCAACCTGCGCCTGTATGTACCAACCTGCGCCTGTATGCACCAACCTGCGCCTGTATATAACAACCTGCGCCTGTATGCACCAACCTGCGCCTGTATGCACCAACCTGCGCCTGTATATAACAACCTGCGCCTGTATGCACCAACCTGCGCCTGTATGCACCAACCTGCGCCTGTATATAACAACCTGCGCCTGTATGCACCAACCTGCGCCTGTATGCACCAACCTGCGCCTGTATGTACCAACCTGCGCCTGTATGTACCAGCCTGCGCCTGTATGTACCAACCTGCGCCTGTATGTACCAGCCTGCGCCTGTATGTACCAACCTGCGCCTGTATGTACCAACCTGCGCCTGTATGCACCAACCTGCGCATGGATGTACTAACCTGCGCCTGTATGTGTATGTACCAACCTGCGCCTGTATGTGTATGCACCAACCTGCGCCTGTATGTGTATGCACCAACCTGCGCCTGTATGCACCAACCTGCGCCTGTATGCACCAACCTGCGCCTGTATGCACCAACCTGCGCATGGATATACTAACCTGCTGCTGAACAAAATCTGCCAATTGCTTGATGAGCTTGGGGTTGGCCTTGAAGTCCACGGAGAAATAGCCCTCCAGCCAAAAGGTCAGCAGGTCCAGAGACCTCCGTCTTACTCGCTGGATGTTGGCGTCTTTTGGCTGGCTGCAGGATGGTGACATTTGGTCACATTAGGTCATTGTCACAGAACACATGCACATAGGTCACATTCACATTAGGTCACAGTCACATTAGGTCACAGTCACATTAGGTCACTGTCACATTAGGTCACAGTCACATTAGGTCACTGTCACATTAGGTCACAGTCACATTAGGTCACTGTCACATTAGGTCACTGTCACATTAGGTTACAGTCACATTAGGTCACTGTCATATTAGAGAAGGCTTAAAGCTACTCAATACATAATATAGTTACCTACACTTTTCTTTTTTAATGGTTCATTATTATTTATTTAGAGAACAATTAATTTTTTATTTTCGCTCGCCCGTTCGAGCCATGCGGAAGCGCGAGGAAGCAAGAAAAATGAAAGCTTGTGATTGAAGGAAACTTGCTGAGATGATTTGTCACCTTAGAGTGGAGTAATATTTCTCCAGGATAAACTGAAGCAGCTGATCAGCGGTTAAAATATATCTGTAGCACATCAGGAACTGGTGGATAAAACCGTTACTCAGTGCTGACCTGGTGCAGAAATAAGTGGACTGGTCAGTTAGTGTACTAGTGGACTGGTCAGTTAGTGTACTAGTGGACTGGTCAGTTTGTGTACTAGTGGACTGGTCAGTTAGTGTACTAGTGGACTGGTCAGTTTGTGTACTAGTGGACTGGTCAGTTTGTGTACTAGTGGACTGGTCAGTTTGTGTACTAGTGGACTGGTCAGTTTGTGTACTAGTGGACTGGTCAGTTTGTGTACTAGTGGACTGGTCAGTTTGTGTACTAGTGGACTGGTCAGTTTGTGTACTAGTGGACTGGTCAGTTTGTGTACTAGTGGACTGGTCAGTTTGTGTACTAGTGGACTGGTCAGTTTGTGTACTAGTGGACTGGTCAGTTTGTGTACTAGTGGACTGGTCAGTTTGTGTACTAGTGGACTGGTCAGTTTGTGTACTAGTGGACTGGTCAGTTTGTGTACTAGTGGACTGGTCAGTTTGTGTACTAGTGGACTGGTCAGTTTGTGTACTAGTGGACTGGTCAGTTTGTGTACTAGTGGACTGGTCAGTTTGTGTACTAGTGGACTGGTCAGTTTGTGGACTGGTCAGTTTGTGTACTAGTGGACTGGTCAGTTTGTGTACTAGTGGACTGGTCAGTTTGTGTACTAGTGGACTGGTCAGTTTGTGTACTAGTGGACTGATCAGTTTGTGTACTAGTGGACTGGTCAGTTTATGTACTAGTGGACTGGTCAGTTTGTGTACTAGTGGACTGGTCAGTTTGTGTACTAGTGGACTGGTCAGTTTGTGTACTAGTGGACTGGTCAGTTTGTGTACTAGTGGACTGGTCAGTTTGTGGACTGGTCAGTTTGTGTACTAGTGGACTGGTCAGTTTGTGTACTAGTGGACTGGTCAGTTTGTGTACTAGTGGACTGATCAGTTTGTGTACTAGTGGACTGGTCAGTTTATGTACTAGTGGACTGGTCAGTTTGTGTACTAGTGGACTGGTCAGTTTGTGTACTAGTGGACTGGTCAGTTTGTGTACTAGTGGACTGATCAGTTTGTGTACTAGTGGACTGGTCAGTTTGTGTACTAGTGGACTGATCAGTTTGTGTACTAGTGGACTGGTCAGTTTATGTACTAGTGGACTGGTCAGTTTGTGTACTAGTGGACTGGTCAGTTTGTGTACTAGTGGACTGGTCAGTTTGTGTACTAGTGGACTGGTCAGTTTGTGTACTAGTGGACTGGTCAGTTTGTGTACTAGTGGACTGATCAGTTTGTGTACTAGTGGACTGGTCAGTTTGTGTACTAGTGGACTGATCAGTTTGTGTACTAGTGGACTGGTCAGTTTATGTACTAGTGGACTGGTCAGTTTGTGTACTAGTGGACTGGTCAGTTTGTGTACTAGTGGACTGGTCAGTTTGTGTACTAGTGGACTGGTCAGTTTGTGTACTAGTGGACTGGTCAGTTTGTGTACTAGTGGACTGGTCAGTTTGTGTACTAGTGGACTGGTCAGTTTGTGTACTAGTGGACTGGTCAGTTTGTGTACTAGTGGACTGGTCAGTTTGTGTACTAGTGGACTGGTCAGTTTGTGTACTAGTGGACTGGTCAGTTTGTGTACTAGTGGACTGGTCAGTTTGTGTACTAGTGGACTGGTCAGTTTGTGTACTAGTGGACTGGTCAGTTAGTGTACTAGTGGACTGGTCAGTTTGTGTACTAGTGGACTGGTCAGTTTGTGTACTAGTGGACTGGTCAGTTTGTGTACTAGTGGACTGGTCAGTTTGTGTACTAGTGGACTGGTCAGTTTGTGTACTAGTGGACTGGTCAGTTTGTGTACTAGTGGACTGGTCAGTTTGTGTACTAGTGGACTGGTCAGTTTGTGTACTAGTGGACTGGTCAGTTTGTGTACTAGTGGACTGGTCAGTTTGTGTACTAGTGGACTGGTCAGTTTGTGTACTAGTGGACTGGTCAGTTTGTGTACTAGTGGACTGGTCAGTTTGTGTACTAGTGGACTGGTCAGTTTGTGTACTAGTGGACTGGTCAGTTTGTGTACTAGTGGACTGGTCAGTTTGTGTACTAGTGGACTGGTCAGTTTGTGTACTAGTGGACTGGTCAGTTAGTGTACTAGTGGACTGGTCAGTTTGTGTACTAGTGGACTGGTCAGTTTGTGTACTAGTGGACTGGTCAGTTTGTGTACTAGTGGACTGGTCAGTTTGTGTACTAGTGGACTGGTCAGTTTGTGTACTAGTGGACTGGTCAGTTTGTGTACTAGTGGACTGGTCAGTTTGTGTACTAGTGGACTGGTCAGTTTGTGTACTAGTGGACTGATCAGTTTGTGTACTAGTGGACTGGTCAGTTTGTGTACTAGTGGACTGGTCAGTTTGTGTACTAGTGGACTGGTCAGTTTGTGTACTAGTGGACTGGTCAGTTTGTGTACTAGTGGACTGGTCAGTTTGTGTACTAGTGGACTGGTCAGTTTGTGTACTAGTGGACTGGTCAGTTTGTGTACTAGTGGACTGGTCAGTTTGTGTACTAGTGGACTGGTCAGTTTGTGTACTAGTGGACTGGTCAGTTTGTGTACTAGTGGACTGGTCAGTTTGTGTACTAGTGGACTGGTCAGTTTGTGTACTAGTGGACTGGTCAGTTTGTGTACTAGTGGACTGGTCAGTTTGTGGACTGGTCAGTTTGTATAGCAAGGTGTTAACGTATTACGTCTGTATTGAGTCGTGCGGCGTGCGGTGTGTGGTGTGTGGTGTGGTTTGTGTCGTGTGGTGTGCGGCGTGAGGTGTGGTGTGTGGTGTGTGGCTTGTGAGAACAAGTTGTACTGACGACGTGAAGAGATACGCCATTAGCCCTCGCGGTGTCCCCGCTTGTAGCACCGACATTCTGCCTGATTCTGGACTGCTGATGGTACGGAACTGGGGAGAGATGGGGCATTAGTCATCTCACCAAGTCATTTCACTAAGTCATCTCACAAACTAACATTATCCAGTCATCTCCCAACCTGACATCACCAAGTCATCTCACCAAGTCATTTCACTAAGTCATCTCACATACTGACATCACCAAGTCATCTCACACACTGACATCACCAAGTCATCTCACTGACATCACCAAGTCATCTCACTGACATCACCAAGTCATCAGACACACTGACATCACCAAGTCATCAGACACACTGACATCACCAAGTCATCTCACTGACATCACCAAGTCATCTCACTGACATCATCAAGTCATCTCACACACTGACATCACCAAGTCATCTCACTGACATCACCAAGTCATCTCACTGACATCACCAAGTCATCTCACTGACATCACCAAGTCAACTCACTGACATCACCAAGTCATCTTACACACTGACATCACCAAGTCATCTCACACACTGACATCACCAAGTCATCTCACACACTGACATCACCAAGTCATCTCACTGACATCACCAAGTCATCTCACTGACATCACCAAGTCATCTCACACACTGACATCACCAAGTCATCTCACACACTGACATCACCAAGTCATCTCACTGACATCACCAAGTCATCTCACACACTGACATCACCAAGTCATCTCACAAACTAACATTATCCAGTCATCTCCCAACCTGACATCACCAAGTCATCTCACACACTGACATCACCAAGTCATCTCACACACTGACATCACCAAGTCATCTCACAAACTAACATTATCCAGTCATCTCCCAACCTGACATCACCAAGTCATCTCACACACTGACATCACCAAGTCATCAGACACACTGACATCACCAAGTCATCTCACTGACATCACCAAGTCATCTCACACACTGACATCACCAAGTCATCAGACACACTGACATCACCAAGTCATCTCACTGACATCACCAAGTCATCTCACACACTGACATCACCAAGTCATCTCACACACTGATATCACCAAGTCATCTCTGTGACATCACCAAGTCATCTCACACACTGACATCACCAAGTCATCTCACTGACATCACCAAGTCATCTTACACACTGACATCACCAAGTCATCTCACTGACATCACCATATCATCTCACTGACATCACCAAGTCATCTCACTGACATCACCAAGTCATCTCACTGACATCACCAAGTCATCTCACTGACATCACCAAGTCATCTCACTGACATCAACAAGTCATCTCACACACTGACATCACCAAGTCATCTCACACACTGACATCACCAAGTCATCTCACAAACTGACATCACCAAGTCATCTAGTACACTGACATCACCAAGTCATCTCACAAACTAACATTATCCAGTCATCTCACTGACATCACCAAGTCATCTCACAGACTGACATCACTAAGTCATCTCACACACTGACATCACCAAGTCATCTCACTGACATCACCAAGTCATCTCACAGACTGACATCACTAAGTCATCTCACACACTGACATCAACAAGTCATCTCACACACTGACATCACCAAGTCATCTCACACACTGACATCACCAAGTCATCTCACAAACTGACATCACCAAGTCATCTAGTACACTGACATCACCAAGTCATCTCACAAACTAACATTATCCAGTCATCTCACTGACATCACCAAGTCATCTCACAGACTGACATCACTAAGTCATCTCACACACTGACATCACCAAGTCATCTCACTGACATCACCAAGTCATCTCACAGACTGACATCACTAAGTCATCTCACACACTGACATCAACAAGTCATCTAGTACACTGACATCACCAAGTCATCTCACACACTGACATCACCAAGTCATCTCACACACTGACATCACCAAGTCATCTCACAAACTAACATTATCCAGTCATCTCCCAACCTGACATCACCAAGTCATCTCACACACTGACATCACCAAGTCATCTCACACACTGACATCACCAAGTCATCTCACACACTGACATCACCAAGTCATCTCACTGACATCACCAAGTCATCTCACAGACTGACATCACTAAGTCATCTCACACACTGACATCACCAAGTCATCTCACTGACATCACCAAGTCATCTCACAGACTGACATCACTAAGTCATCTCACACACTGACATCAACAAGTTATCTCACTGACATCACCAAGTCATCTCACTGACATCACCAAGTCATCTCACTGACATCACCAAGTCATCTCACTGACATCACCAAGTCATCTCACTGACATCACCAAGTCATCTCACTGACATCACCAAGTCATCTCACTGACATCACCAAGTCATCTCACTGACATCACCAAGTCATCTCACAGACTGACATCAGTAAGTCATCTCACACACTGACATCACCAAGTCATCTCACTGACATCACCAAGTCATCAGACACACTGACATCACCAAGTCATCTCACTGACATCACCAAGTCATCTCACTGACATCACCAAGTCATCTCACTGACATCACCAAGTCATCTCACTGACATCTCCAAGTCATCTCACTGACATCACCAAGTCATCTCACAGACTGACATCACTAAGTCATCTCACACACTGACATCACCAAGTCATCTCACTGACATCACCAAGTCATCTCACTGACATCACCAAGTCATCTCACTGACATCACCAAGTCATCTCACTGACATCACCAAGTCATCTCACTGACATCACCAAGTCATCTCACAGACTGACATCACTAAGTCATCTCACTGACATCACCAAGTCATCTCACAGACTGACATCACTAAGTCATCTCACTGACATCACCAAGTCATCTCACTGACATCACTAAGTCATCTCACTGACATCACCAAGTCATCTCACTGACATCACCAAGTCATCTCACTGACATCACCAAGTCATCTCACCTGTAGGTATGGGTTGTCTGGGTGTGGCTCCAGGCTCAGGGCGCCGCCGCCCTCTGTAGCACTCAGTGAGTACAGGAAACAGGTCTCAAGGCCAGACAGTTCAGCCAGCAGCATCTGTGTCAAACAGTAGAGAAATATTTCATGAGTTCATCAATACTGGGAGCTAGAGAAATATTTCTTGAGTTCATACCGTGAGCTAGAGAAATATTTCTTCAGTTCATCAATACCGTGAGCTAGAGAAATATTTCTTGAGTTCATCAATACCGTGAGCTAGAGAAATATTTCTTGAGTTCATACCGTGAGCTAGAGAAATATTTCTTAAGTTCATCAATACCGTGAGCTAGAGAAATATTTCTTAAGTTCATCAATACCGTGAGCTAGAGAAATATTTCTTGAGTTCATCAATACCGTGAGCTAGAGAAATATTTCTTAAGTTCATCAATACTGTGAGCTAGAGAAATATTTCTTGAGTTCATACCATGAGCTAGAGAAATATTTCTTGAGTTCATACCATGAGCTAGAGAAATATTTCTTAAGTTCATCAATACCGTGAGCTAGAGAAATATTTCTTAAGTTCATCAATACCGTGAGCTAGAGAAATATTTCTTGAGTTCATCAATACCGTGAGCTAGAGAAATATTTCTTGAGTTCATCAATACCGTGAGCTAGAGAAATATTTCTTAAGTTCATCAATACCGTGAGCTAGAGAAATATTTCTTGAGTTCATCAATACCGTGAGCTAGAGAAATATTTCTTGAGTTCATCAATACCGTGAGCTAGAGAAATATTTCTTAAGTTCATCAATACCGTGAGCTAGAGAAATATTTCTTAAGTTCATCAATACCGTGAGCTAGAGAAATATTTCTTGAGTTCATCAATACCGTGAGCTAGAGAAATATTTCTTAAGTTCATCAATACCGTGAGCTAGAGAAATATTTCTTGAGTTCATACCGTGAGCTAGAGAAATATTTCTTGAGTTCATACCGTGAGCTAGAGAAATATTTCTTGAGTTCATATCGTCAGCTAGAGAAATATTTCTTGAGTTCATCAATACCGTGAGCTAGAGAAATATTTCTTGAGTTCATCAATACCGTGAGCTAGAGAAATATTTCTTGAGTTCATCAATACCGTGAGCTAGAGAAATATTTCTTGAGTTCATACCGTGAGCTAGAGAAATATTTCTTGAGTTCATCAATACCGTGAGCTAGAGAAATATTTCTTGAGTTCATCAATACCGTGAGCTAGAGAAATATTTCTTAAGTTCATCAATACTGGGAGCTAGAGAAATATTTCTTAAGTTCATCAATACTGGGAGCTAGAGAAATATTTCTTAAGTTCATCAATACTGGGAGCTAGAAAAATATTTCTTGAGTTCATCAATACCGTGAGCTAGAGAAATATTTCTTGAATTCATACCGTGTGCTAGAGAAATATTTCTTGAGTTCATCAATACCGTGAGCTAGAGAAATATTTCTTGAGTTCATACCGTGAGCTAGAGAAATATTTCTTAAGTTCATCAATACCGTGAGCTAGAGAAATATTTCTTGAGTTCATCAATACCGTGAGCTAGAGAAATATTTCTTGAGTTCATCAATACTGTGAGCTAGAGAAATATTTCTTGAGTTCATACCGTCAGCTAGAGAAATATTTCTTGAGTTCATACCGTGAGCTAAAGAAATATTTCTTGAGTTCATACCGTCAGCTAGAGAAATATTTCTTGAGTTCATCAATACCGTGAGCTAGAGAAATATTTCTTGAGTTCATCAATACCGTGAGCTAGAGAAATCATTCTTGAGTTCATCAATACCGTGAGCTAGAGAAATATTTCTTGAGTTCATACCGTGAGCTAGAGAAATATTTCTTGAGTTCATCAATACCGTGAGCTAGAGAAATATTTCTTGAGTTCATCAATACCGTGAGCTAGAGAAATATTTCTTAAGTTCATCTATACCGTGAGCTAGAGAAATATTTCTTAAGTTCATCAACACCGTGAGCTAGAGAAATATTTCTTGAGTTCATCAATACCGTGAGCTAGAGAAATATTTCTTAAGTTCATCAATACCGTGAGCTAGAGAAATATTTCTTGAGTTCATCAATACCGTGAGCTAGAGAAATATTTCTTGAGTTCATACCGTGAGCTAGAGAAATATTTCTTGAGTTCATACCGTGAGCTAGAGAAATATTTCTTGAGTTCATACCGTCAGCTAGAGAAATATTTCTTGAGTTCATCAATACCGTGAGCTAGAGAAATATTTCTTGAGTTCATCAATACCGTGAGCTAGAGAAATATTTCTTAAGTTCATCAATACCGTGAGCTAGAGAAATATTTCTTGAGTTCATACCGTGAGCTAGAGAAATATTTCTTGAGTTCATCAATACCGTGAGCTAGAGAAATATTTCTTGAGTTCATCAATACCGTGAGCTAGAGAAATATTTCTTAAGTTCATCAATACTGGGAGCTAGAGAAATATTTCTTAAGTTCATCAATACTGGGAGCTAGAGAAATATTTCTTAAGTTCATCAATACTGGGAGCTAGAAAAATATTTCTTGAGTTCATCAATACCGTGAGCTAGAGAAATATTTCTTGAATTCATACCGTGAGCTAGAGAAATATTTCTTGAGTTCATCAATACCGTGAGCTAGAGAAATATTTCTTGAGTTCATCAATACCGTGAGCTACAGAAATATTTCTTGAGTTCATCAATACCGTGAGCTAGAGAAATATTTCTTGAGTTCATCAATACCGTGAGCTAGAGAAATATTTCTTGAGTTCATCAATACCGTGAGCTAGAGAAATATTTCTTGAGTTCATCAATACTGTGAGCTAGAGAAATATTTCTTGAGTTCATCAATACCGTGAGCTAGAGAAATATTTCTTAAGTTCATCAATACCGTGAGCTAGAGAAATATTTCTTGAGTTCATACCGTGAGCTAGAGAAATATTTCTTGAGTTCATCAATACCGTGAGCTAGAGAAATATTTCTTGAGTTCATACCGTGAGCTAGAGAAATATTTCTTGAGTTCATCAATACCGTGAGCTAGAGAAATATTTCTTGAGTTCATCAATACCGTGAGCTAGAGAAATATTTCTTGAGTTCATACCGTGAGCTAGAGAAATATTTCTTGAGTTCATCAATACCGTGAGCTAGAGAAATATTTCTTGAGTTCATCAATACTGTGAGCTAGAGAAATATTTCTTGAGTTCATCAATACCGTGAGCTAGAGAAATATTTCTTGAGTTCATCAATACTGTGAGCTAGAGAAATATTTCTTGAGTTCATCAATACCGTGAGCTAGCTGGGTCAGACTAACGTGAGTTTACCGCTGGGGTTCTCGTGACGTACCTTGAGGTGAGTCTGGCACAGGTGGAGGAATGTCAGCTTTTTGGTGTTCTCTTGCATGTCTTTCAACATCTGCTCCTGGACATTTTCATCGCCTGGGAAAAGGTCAAACTTTAGGTTAGAGGTCAACAACGAGTAGATGTTTATAAATAGCTCACGTGACAATGTGACTATAGTGACCCAACATTCAGACTGTACCCACCTTGTGTAGCGACCCAACATTCAGACTGTACCCACCTTTAGATAGTTTGCTGGATGACAGTTTTGAGTAAAATTTTTGAGTTTTCTTCCTTTGACGTTTGAGCACTAAAACTTCCTGACTGATGCTAGCGAGTCGACGTTCTATACTTGCCTGGTTTTCTTCGTCCTGCAATACAACGGCAGGGTATAGCATGTAGCACTTGAGCTGATGGTTTGTATGTCTGTGTGTATGTATGTCTGTGTATGGGGGCTGGGGTATATGTGTGAGGGGTTGGGGTATGTCTGTTTGAGGGGTTGGTTTAAGTGTGTATGTAAGGGGCTGGGTTATGTGTGTTTGAGGGTCTGGGTTATGTGTATGTGCAAGAGGTTGGGTTATGTGTGTGTGAGGGGTTGGGTTATGTCTGTATGTGAAGGCTTTTGTGTGAGGGGTTAGGTTATGCAATTAATAAAACAGTTTTGAAACTTAGTGGACATAACAGGATTAAATGTTAGCGATCACTCAATAGATTACTCTATTCAGAAACAGAAGGGGAGATAACTAGCTAGGCGCTATCATCCGACCGGTCTGGTGAGCTGTGGTTCACGAGAATGTTTACAATCGTAGAGCCGGGAGAAAAATAAGAGGTAGCTAATATAGTTTTTTAAATGATAAGAAACTAACGGGAGGTAGTAAGATTAAGAACTATCCTTCGCTTTATCAGCTTGCTGTTGTCTGTAAATTGTGGCCAAGTACGGCTGCTTTTCACGGGGCAGATAATCGTCATGTAGATACCGCGAGCTAGTGCTGGTGTTTTACAGCAAGTATTTTTAGTTGTGCTGACTTCATAAATTAGGAATCACTAAAAAAAAAATAGAAACTTGAACAAATATAAAAATCTTTATAGCAACAAACTTTTAAATGCACTAAAAATAAGAAACAACGTTTTAATAACAAGCTTTTATGTAGTAATGCACGAAAAAGTAAATAAATCATACACTACAATTAAAATAACTATAAGGAAAAGCGTGGTTCACTTTAGTATTTATTGGATACCTTTACTAATATTTAGGTAGAGATCCACGCTCTTCTTATAGTTATTTAAATAGTAGTGTAAAATTTATTTTCTACTTTTTAGTGCATTAGTACATAAAAGCTTGTTATTAAAACGTTTTTTATGAATTTTTTTAGTACTTTAAATGTTTTATTTACAATAGAGTTGCATGACTAAAAACCATTGCGCACCTATTGAACGTGATGACGCGCTATTGAACGTGATGACGCGTGTGGAGTAGTTGGATAGGACTGCCTACTGATTTGGTCAAATTTTTAATTAATTCATAAAAAAATTAATCAGGCGACCAATTAAGTCAAATTGAATGTCATGATGCATTGTCTTCACGTTTTGACCCGCGTACCAATTACGAACCGTATCTGTCAGTTAGAAGTGCCTGCAATTTCGCTCGGGCGTTTCGATCTAGACAGACTGACGACTGACGACAGACAGAGGAAGTGAGTTAAATAAAAGCTTGTAAAATATAATTCGGTTTCTTTTGTTACTAATGAGATTTTAAAAATATATTTTAGGGACAAAAGCTTTTATGAAAAAAATTAAATTAGTTTTATTTTCTTATTTTCAGTGCATTTAAAAGCTTGTTGCTATAAAGTTTTTTTTTTTTTTTTAAATTTTGCTTTAGTATAGAAACTTCACCAAAATATTTTCCTAATGTATGTTGTGACCAGTTCCAACCACACCATAGTAGCCACATTACTGTACAATTTTTAGGCCTTTGGTCATTCTACAGTCCAGTTATGCCTCTAAGGACTCTCAAGCCAATATTTACACACAAACTAGACTATAGAATGAATGAAATGATGACGTCAACTTACTATCGAGTGAATAAAGTGATCAACCTCTGAGGTCAGGCTGAGCTGGATCATGGCTGAATGGTAGACCACGTCCCCCCGTCTCCTGTAGCCCAGTAGGGACATGTTCACATCGTCCAGAATGTTGCCCTCTGATCCCCGTCTGCTTGCAGGCCTGGACCTGGCAGTCGTTTGATTGGTCAGGTCGACGACCTTGACACCTGGATACACAGCAGAAAATGTTCGCGTTGGCTGCTCGGGTGCTGGAAACAGCCTTGAACTTGGTCTCATGGTTGACCTAGCTTTGCCGTGCGAATCTCCAGGAATGAAGTGCGTCTGAAGGTCTTGAGATTCCTGTCTCTCGGTGCTAGTTCTGCGTCCGTTGACCTGGCTAGGCGGCCTTGTGGCCCTGTGAGCCGGGGGCCTGACCTGGGCAGGCGGCATCTCCTTGAAAAGCTCGGGTTTGCTGGCGGCCAGCCGCCTCATTTCTGTCGACAAATCAATTTCTTCTTCACCATCAATTTTTCTTTCTTCAATTTTTCTTTCATCAATTTTATTTTCATAACTTTTCGAGTTCGACTGAGTGATTGGGTGTGTACTTGATTTCAGTTCAGTCATGTTATGGCTAGCACCAGTAGCTGTGCTGTGGCTAGCACCAGTAGCTGTGCTGTGGCTAGCACCAGTAGCTGTGCTGTGGCTAGCATCAGTAGCTGTGCTGTGGCTAGCACCAGTAGTTGTGCTGTGGCTAGCACCAGTAGCTGTGCTGTGGCTAGCACCAGTAGCTGTGCTGTGGCTAGCACCAGTAGCTGTGCTGTGGCTAGCACCAGTAGCTGTGCTGTGGCTAGCACCAGTAGCTGTGCTGTGGCTAGCACCAGTAGCTGTGCTGTGGCTAGCACCAGTAGCTGTGCTGTGGCTAGCACCACCTGCGGTTGAAGGCACGTTCTGTAAATGGGCCAAATGCTGAGCTTGACCCAGATCGCCTTCCTGCAGCACAGTACTAGAGGGGGCGTGTCTGTGGTCAGTGTGGGCCTGGTCCACACCTGGGCTGGACCTCAGTGGCGCCACCTTGAGGGTGTGGTTAGAGTGACGCGAGGGATGACCTGTGTGACGCCGTCTGGCTTCACTCATCACCTCAATGTTGGGTGATTTGTTTGAATTCACACTGACTCTACTTGCCGACTCTGCCACACTGACTCTATTTGCTGACTCTGTCACACTGACTCTGCTGGACGACTCTGTCACACTGACTCTGCCCTCGGAAGATGAATCTGAATGATAGACGTGATTGGCCAATGGAAATTGAGCTGGAAGAATTTGATTGGCTGTGTGGTTCCGTACATGAGTTTTGAGTGGTGTGAATGTTTTCTTTGATCTGGCTCCCTTAAAACCGTTTGGATGTTGGCCCTTGTCCGCGTGCTTGTGTGCCGCGCCCCCAGCTGGTGACGTGGAGGAAAACCTGGAAATGTAAAAAACAAAATTAGGCGGATCAAGGTGAGAAAAAGTGGGGAGGCTGGTGTTTAGGTTGGTAGGGAGGTGAGTGTCTAGGTTGGTAGGGAGGTGAGTGTCTAGGTTGGTAGGGAGGTGGGTGTCTAGGTTGGTAGGGAGGTGAGTGTCAGGTTGGTGGGGAGGTGGGTGTCTAGGTTGTTAGGGAGGTGGGTGTCAGGTTGGTGGGGTGGTGAGTGTCTAGGTTGGTGGGGAGGTGGGTGTCTAGGTTGTTAGGGAGGTGAGTGTCAGGTTGGTGGGGTGGTGAGTGTCTAGGTTGGTAGGGAGGTGGGTGTCTAGGTTGTTAGGGAGGTGAGTGTCAGGTTGGTGGGGTGGTGGGTGTCTAGGTTGGTAGGGAGGTGGGTATCTAGGTTGGTAGGGAGGTGAGTGTCTAGGTTGGTAGGGAGGTGGGTGTCTAGGTTGGTGGGGAGGTGGGTGTCTAGGTTGGTGGGGAGGTGGGTGTCTAGGTTGGTAGGGAGGTGGGTGTCTAGGTTGGTAGGGAGGTGAGTGTCTAGGTTGGTAGGGAGGTGAGTGTCTAGGTTGGTGGGGAGGTGAGTGTCTAGGTTGGTAGGGAGGTGGGTATCTAGGTTGGTGGGGAGGGGAGCCGGACGTTTTCCCGAAAGACGCTTGCCAGAATGCATTTTGCCCGAAGGCCGATATCCCGAATGAACACTTGCCCGAATGCGACAAATGCCCGAACGCCACTTGCCCGGATGTGAAAACAAAACATACAGAAATCAGCAACAAACAAATCAGCTAGGTTGATGAAATTTCATATATAAGTATTTTATCAAAATCGTTGATCCGTATCAACTTTTGAGCGATTTCCGAGAACCGGAGGTGGTACTTTTTCTACTTTGAATTTTTCAAAAGCCTATAACTTGAGTACTATTTCAGATAGATAAATGAAATTTCACATGTAAGTAAAAGATCTAATTCTCTACCTTCTTTCAAATTTTGAGTAATTTCCGTTGACCGGAAGTACTAATTTACGCTATTTCCGATTTCTCAAAAAAAACGCATGTAAATTTATAAAGTACTAATAATATTGCGCACTATTATGCACATTTTCTTTTGGCGTTCGCTTGGTGCGCAATTCGTTTTTCTATGAGATTCTATTCTATTTTTAAAAGTTTAAGTAATTAAAAATCATGTCTATATTCCAGGTTATATAAGAATATTCAAGAAAGTTTAGGGGAGATCACTCCCGGTTTATTTTATTTACAATAGAGTTGCATGACTAAAAATCATTGCGCACCTAATGAACGTGATGGCGCGTTGATAATAGTGTGGAATAGTTGGGTAAGACTGCCTACTAATTTGGTCAAAATTTTAATTAATTCATTAATATATTAATTAGGCAACCAATTAAGTAAAATTTAATGTCGTGTTGTATTGTCTTCATGTCTTGACCCACGTGCCAACTGTGAACCGTATCTGTTAGTTAGAAGTGCCCGTAATTTCGTTCGGGCGTTCCGATCTAGACTGACAATAGACTGACGACTGACGACAGACAGAGAAAGTGAGTTAAATTAAAGCTTGTAAAAATACTTTAAAATGAACGCAACTAATGTTCGTATAATAGAAACGATAAAATTAGTACCGAGAATTAAAAACATCTATTATATCTTTAAAAATTAATTGAGCATTCAACTAAGTAAAATTTTAAGTCACATTGCATTATTATCCGGTCTTGATCTACGTGCCAAGTTTGAAAGAAATCGGCAGGGTAGAAGAGGTCGAAATTTCGCTCGTCCGTTTGGACCATGTCGGACGGAGCATTAAGCACAACAGACAGTGGAGGCAAGTTGAAATAAGCACAACAGACAGTGGAGGCAAGTTGAAATAAGCACAACAGACAGTGGAGGCAAGTTGAAATAAAGCTTGTAAAGCTTCTTCATGGATCATTTCTAAAATATCTAACATTTAATAGGCCTTTTGTTGACATACGTTCTTAACTATGGAAAACGTTTGCAGATCTGAACAAGAACTTAGTCTCGAGGCCTGAGGCCTGCAACTTACCGGGTATCACGTGACGTCTGACCTCCTGAGGCCGTGTACAGTTGTCTGAGCGTGGTGTAGGGCCACACCAAGTGGAAATATTTTTCTGTCACGGCGCTACAAAAGGTCTCCAAGGTCAGGCCAGACAAGGTCAAGATGTACTGGGCTGTCATGAAATGGACATAACCAACAATTAAAATTAATACACTTTGCAACATGTACATGATCCACAAGAAAACAATTTTTAACTTTAACGGAATACATGAACACAACACACAATAGAACCTGATCACGTAAACAGACAATTGCATCCACTAAGGCTCAAACTTATAGCAAAACGCCCCGATTATTTAAATGAAAGACCGTGAGCTCCCCTAAACTTAGTTTTGTGTCCAAATATAACAGTTATTCATAAATTCAAGTAATGGTATTTAATACAGAATATAACAACCCACACTTTTCTTTTTAGTTATTTGAATAACAGTTCATTATGATATATTTATCTATTTAATTTAAATAATTTATTTTCTCATTTTAGTGCATTATTACTTTAGATAATTCATTAAAAAATAATTAGTTATCCAATTAAATCAAATTTTATTTAAGATTGCCTTGTCTTCAAGACTTGGCCCACGTGTAATCTTTGAAACGAATCGGTTCATTAGAAGTGCTCGAAGTTTCGCTAGCCCTTTTTAATCTATGACGACAAAAGCGCAATAGAAAGACAGACAGAGGAAGCAAGTTGAAGCTTGTGAAAACGTTTTAAAATAACAAGTGTCTATATAATTAATTACTAGACTACCCGTTATCTAGTTAGATAACTGTGGGTTTCGGGGGGTCATCCATAAATGACATCACGTCTGCCAGCACTTATCATCCCAAAATAACCAGACCCCACATTCAAAAAGACGTTTTTTATATTTTAAAAACTCTACTAGACTCTACTTCACCTGCCCAGTGCCCCGCCAAGTCTCAGACATGTTTGTATTAAAAAAAAAAACGATTCAGGCCGAGCATGGCGCTGACCACACTATCCCTTCATATGCTGAGAACATAGAAACAGGTGAACTCTACTTCACCTACCCTGTGCCCCGCTAGGTCCTGATAGTCAACCTTATCATTCACATATAGGCCTTAGAAAAAATAATTGAAAACATTGTTGTAAAATAACATCTTTTTACTATTACTAAAGCCATTGTTCTAAAACTTTAAAATTAATGTGGTTAATCTACCTATGAATAAATCAATAAATTATTAATTAACGTCTTTAAATAAATGTGTGATTAACAGTCTGTCTGCAATCAAAAATTGTTTTCTACCTACATACTATTTTACAGCCCCCCATATAGAGCAGTTTCCTTACAGTACCAAATCAGACAAACAAAAAAAATAAAACAAATGAATATTCAAACAAACTTGAGTTTTAGTAGTATATAGATAGATAGATTTATGTATTTTAAAGAAGAAATTAAATAATTTTCTTTATAATGATGAATGGCTATTTAAATGGCTAAAATAAAGCGTTGGTTGCTTCTAAAATTCTAGTAAAAGAATTCAGCGACCCACGCTTTTCTTTATATTATTGAAAATGCTTTGATCTATTTTAATAGCTTGTTAGTATTGCGTTTCACACAGACGGACCAACTTATCCGATGGTTTAATTAGCAGCACTAGATCACACACAGAAGGACCAACTTATCCGATGGTTTAATTAGCAGCACTAGATCACACACAGACGGACCAACTTATCCGATGGTTTAATTAGCAGCACTAGATCACACACAGACGGACCAACTTATCCGATGGTTTAATTAGCAGCACTAGATCACACACAGACGGACCAACTTATCCGATGGTTTAATTAGCAGCACTAGATCACACACAGAAGGACCAACTTATCCGATGGTTTAATTAGCAGCACTAGATCACACACAGACGGACCAACTTATTCGATGGTTTAATTAGCAGCACTAGATCACACACAGACGGACCAACTTATCCGATGGTTTAATTAGTAGCACTACATCACTGCTCTCATCATGTCCATCCCCAATTTTCGTTCACACACGCACAAGCATGCAAACACACACATACCCACCCACCCTCCACAACCCCACACGAAATTTCTCCTGAATTAGCAGACTACTTTAATTCGGTCAAGTAACTAATAATATTATTACAATTTTCAGAATTAGTTTTTCGTTGTTTGAAAAGTATTCAAGTGCATTGTTAAAACCTCTATTCGTTAAAACTTTGAAATTTGAATATTTTAATCAATTTTCCAATTAATAAAATATTACCGTGAAATTAAATAATTTATTATTGACGAAAAAGATATCCCATTCCATTCTGTCGTCCATTAAAAATAATATTTACAAATGTACTAAATACATAAAACAAGTATTAAGAGTAATTAATAAACTGATATACAAAAGTGTTAGATTTTTGCCTGGATAATAATAACTTGTAATAATTTTTTTTATTTCTTTTTGCGCTTATGAAGTTTTGCAATTTAATACCGTCCTATATAAAACTTTCAAACACACATTCATTGAACTATGTTCATTTTGCAATACATAGCTCGTCATTTTAAGTTGCTACACACCCAAATCGTACGTGATAACCTCGAAAAAAAATTAAACACGAATAATAGAGAAAACGGATTCATATTTAAGATATTGATAGTACTAGTCGACCTGGTTTCCGTTGGAAAACGATCTGATTGCAGCATTACATTCGACAAAACGTCTTACATACGAAGACTATCCCTTGCCATCAGACACACACTAGCAATCGTATAACTTATCAACAGGATATATCCACAACAATTGATATGAGTAATAAATAGTTTTTAGACACCTACCTAAAGCTATGTCATCCAAGCCATTGTCTAAAATCCCATCCTCTGAAAATGTTTGATGAATAACTTTGAGAACATCGTGTAGCATGTCCTGCTTGTCTGACTCGTGTGTGCTGGCAAGTAGCTTGTCCATCAAGCTCTCGCTGGGATATTGCGGGTTTGTTAAACAAATGCCCGAGTCTTTAGACGGCGACGGAGAGGACGTGTTCGAGTCCTGGACCCCACGCCACGTCTTGTGGGCTGTTTTGCTGTTGTGTAGGAGCGATTTCTCATTCCTAGAGACCGGGCCCTGGTCTGGCTCCCTCCCACCCCTGTAGCCCGGGCCCAGGTCTGGCTCCCTCCCACCCCTGTAGCCCGGGCCCAGGTCTGGCTCCCTCCCACCCCTGTAGCCCGGGCCCAGGTCTGGCTCCCTCCCACCCCTGTAGCCCGGGCCCAGGTCTGGCTCCCTCCCACCCCCGTAGTGGCCACTGGCCAATCTAAAATGTTCTTGATTGTTCCAAACTGTGTGAGGAAGTGCTTGCTCCACCAGGGCTGTGGAGTAATGAGGTAGAGTGGCGCCACCCAGCGAGGGGTGTGTCGGAGGGTAGGATGGGAAGGGCAGCAAGTAACCTGTGGCAGAATCTTGCAGGTATGTATAGGGGAGGGGAAGGTTGCTAGAGCCGGGCAAAGAAAACTGATATCTGCTGTTTGAGACTGCAGATGGCTGCATGGCTGCGGTGCTGAATACAGTTGTGTGGTGCGGATGGCGTGAGTTTCCTGTAGACATGTGAACTGTAGTGGCCGTCGTTAAGTAAGTCTGACTGGGCTGGGAAGGTTGTGGTAACACATAGGCGGGTGGTGATGAGGAGGTGATTTGCCCAGAGGATTGCGGGGCTCGCATCAAGTGACTTTTTAAGTGCTGGGCAATGGCTGAGGCCAATTCTTCCGCGTGGGAGTAGTGATCTAAATGCTGATTTGAGATGGAGTAGTGATCTAAATGCTGCGTCTGCTGAGCGTGAACATGACCGGAAGTGTCCACCATTTTGCCTGGCTCTCTGTGCCTGCTGAGATTTTCTTTGATTTGCTTCAGCTTGGCCACCACAGTAGTGTCAGCCCCTGCTGACCTCTGCCCTTCTGACCTCTGCCCTGCTGACCTCTGCGCCTCTTGGATGACGATAGGTCTGAAGTGTGTAGCCGGAGATGAAAATGCCGATGGAACTCGCGGCTCATTGGCTTGTCTCGGCACTGGCTTGAACAGAGTTGGAGGCGTGGTGCTCGTGTTGCTGGCGGGTTTGAAGGCAGAAGCAGATTTCTCTTCTAACATACTACTGTCAGCCTCTTTGTTCTGAGAAAAATACACAATAGGAAATCTCATTTCATCGCTCGAAAACAGCAATTAGACTCCCCCCCTTCCCCTCCACACTTTCGATTTCTTTACATAGAATAAAGTGAGGACCTGGTTTTTACACTAGATCCTACACTGACCTCTACACTAGGTCTTACACTGACCTCTACACTAGCTCTTACACTGACCTCTACACTAGGTCTTACACTGACTACTACACTAGCTCTTACAGTGACCTCTACACTAGGTCTTACACTGACCTCTACACTAGCTCTTACACTGACCTGTACACTAGCTCTTACACGGACCTCTACACTAGGTCTTACACTGACCTCTACACTTGCTCTTACACTGACCTCTACACTTGCTCTTACACTGACCTGTACACTAGCTCTTACACTGACCTGTACACTAGCTCTTACACGGACCTCTACACTAGGTCTTACACTGACCTCTACACTTGCTCTTACACTGACCTCTACACTAGCTCTTACACTGACCTCTACACTTGCTCTTACACTGACCTGTACACTAGCTCTTACACTGACCTCTACACTAGGTCTTACACTGACTACTACACTAGCTCTTACACTGACCTCTACACTAGGTCTTACACTGACCTCTACACTAGCTCTTACACTGACCTCTACACTTGCTCTTACACTGACCTCTACACTTGCTCTTACACCGATAGCTGACTTGTAGAGGTTCTCACAGTGTTGCTGAGAGCTGCTGGTGTTGGCCAGATCAAACTCCTGGCAAAGCTGTCAAAAGGTTTTATTTATTCATTTATTTATTTATTCATTTATTTATTTATTCATTTATTCATTTATTTATTTTTCAATAGTAATCACGGAGGCCTTTTTCACATTGGCTATTTTAAAATAAACAAACATAGTAGTAACACAGCACTAAAAATAAAGAATACATAAAGAAATAATATTACATAGTTATAATACAAAAAGAGATAAAATAAGAATATAATAGATGAATGAGAAATGTTGCAATGAGTCAGTTGGGGGGGGGGGGGGGGGTCATTAAATAATTGTTGTTTTAGTTTAGTTTTGAATATATTTTCAGATCTAGATAGTTTTATTTTATTAGGAAGATTGTTCCACAACTTAGAACCAGAATAGGCGAAGCTATGTTTTTAGAAAAAAAGTTGTATATGGGATCGGTTCAGAATGTAGGCTAATTAAAAATAGAAGTACAGAATTTAGGCTAATTAAAAATAGGGTTTGCTCGCTAATATTAAAAAAAGTTTTCTTTTTACTAGAGCCTACCTACCCCCTGTCGACTAACTAATTTTTTAAAATGAAGAAACTATCTTGCATGTTAATATAGCGACGAACCCTTGACTGCAGACAGAAATAATTTTTAGCGCAATTTAAAAAAAAAAAAAAAAAAAAAGAAAAATTGCGTTTAATAATGCGTCATTTCTGGATAGATGAATGTGTGTCCGCAGCTTTAAGTCGTATCTCCTCCTCAACAAAGCAATATCGAGGACTAGTTCCTGGATTTCCCGGAAAAGCCAAAAAACCTCGAAAAAATGCAGTTTTTGGCCCATCTCGGCAACCAGACCACTTAGCGACTTGAAACATTTACCAATCGATTCCTGCCATAATTTAGAACAATATTGCCGAAGAAAGTTTTCAAAAATATCATTTCGTTCGGTCACAACAAATTAATTTCTTCTAATTTGTATTGGCTAAGATTACTAAGAATATACAAATATTTCTACCACCCTCATCCCAAAGTTCCAAACCAAGCACACCGGCTGAGGCAGTCGCTAGTGAGAGGTAACGGCTACACACGCTGCCATTGGCCAGACTCGCGCAGATCTCGCGAGGGGGCGGGGACTAGCTCTGCTTGTGTGGTTTAAACTGAGCATCGTGTAGGAGTTTATATTTATAGGATGATTTACTTATTAACATAAGGAAATTGCGCTTAAATTGTCACTACAATTTTTATTAAATTGTTTTTTATAAACGTATTTTTTATTTTACATTTTTGTTAGTGTATAGCAATCTATGTTCCCTATAGGGCTTGTAAGTAGGTCATCAACTTCATATCATACTAGCCAGCTAGTATTTTTCAAACCAATTGTGAATATGTTTATTAAATCGGTGAAAAAAGAAATAAAAGTTACTTACGCTATTGTTAAGTTATTTAAAATAGTAAAAACTGATAATGATCTTTGCGAATTCACCTGACCCTGGCTAACGAGATTTCAAATTTTAAGTAAAAGAGACTTACAAGCCCTATAACAATCATGTTCCCATAGCAATATTTGATCCCTAGCAATTATGTTCCCATAGCAATATTTGATCCCTAGCAATTATGTTCCCATAGCAATATTTGATCCCTAGCAATTATGTTCCCATAGCAATATTTGATCCCTAGCAATTATGTTCCCTATAGCAATATTTGTTCCCTAGCAATTATGTTCCCTATAGCAATCTTTGTTCAGATAAAAAGAAACTTGCGGCCATCTTTAAGATTGTTGAATGCCAATCTAAGTGGCTAAGATTCCAGTCGGACATGAAATATTTACTAGCCAAGCTTCTCAAATTCTAAAAATTTCATTGGAAGATCGCGTGAAATAGCCTGATTCCATCTGTCTATGACGTAATCTGACTGCCTATGACGTAACCTGACGTGCATGACGTAATTCGACTCACACGAAGGGCGGTGCCTAAGTCCGGCCGTTGCTCAGGGTTCTTGTGTGTGAGAGCTTGAATGAGAACTTCCACAGTCTCCGTCCTTTGGTTGCCTGCAGCTGCCAGCAACGTTTTACCCAAGCCAAATAGGCAAGTCTGTGGACCAAAGTATATAGTTTTTATTTATTGCCGAATAGGCAAATCTGTGGACCAAAGTATATAGTTTTTATTTATTGCCGAATAGGCAAGTCTGTGGACCAAAGTATATAGTTTTTATTTATTGCCAAATAGGCAAGTCTGTGGACCAAAGTTTAAAGTTTTTTTTATTGCCAAATAGGCAAGTCTGTGGACCAAAGTTTATAGGTTTTTTTTATTGCCAAATAGGCAAGTCTGTGGACCAAAGTTTAAAGTTTTATTGTCAAAACATCGACCCGCGCTTAGGGGTCTCATCACAGGCTAAACCACAATTGCTGGAATATATATATATATATATATATATATATATATATATATATATATATATATATATATATATATATATATATAACAAGAAAAATGTGGAACACTCTCTACTGCTCAATTTCACATTTTATTCTTTTCTCAAACCTTTTTGACAGTGTGGTACAACCTTAAGACAGTGAGATACAACCTTAAGACAGTGAGGTACAACCTTAAGACAGAGAGGTACAACCTTAAGACAGAGAGGTACAACCTTAAGACAGTGAGATACAACCTTAAGACAGTGAGATACAACCTTAAGACAGTGAGATACAACCTTAAGACAGTGAGATACAACCTTAAGACAGTGAGATACAACCTTAAGACAGTGAGATACAACCTTAAGACAGTGAGGTACAACCTTAAGACAGTGAGATACAACCTTAAGACAGTGAGTTACAACCTTAAGACAGTGAGGTACAACCTTAAGACAGTGAGATACAACCTTAAGACAGTGAGGTACAACCTTAAGACAGTGAGATACAACCTTAAGACAGTGAGATACAACCTTAAGACAGTGAGATACAACCTTAAGACAGTGAGGTACAACCTTAAGACAGTGAGATACAACCTTAAGACAGTGAGATACAACCTTAAGACAGTGAGGTACAACCTTAAGACAGTGAGATACAACCTTAAGACAGTGAGGTACAACCTTAAGACAGTGAGGTACAACCTTAAGACAGTGAGATACAACCTTAAGACAGTGAGATAAAACCTTAAGACAGTGAGATACAACCGTAAGACAGTGAGGTACAACCTTAAGACAGTGAGATACAACCTTAAGACAGTGAGGTACAACCTTAAGACAGTGAGATACAACCTTAAGACAGTGAGATACAACCTTAAGACAGTGAGGTACAACCTTAAGACAGTGAGATACAACCTTAAGACAGTGAGGTACAACCTTAAGACAGTGAGGTACAACCTTAAGACAGTGAGATACAACCTTAAGACAGTGAGGTACAACCTTAAGACAGTGAGGTACAATCTTAAGACAGTGAGGTACAACCTTAAGACAGTGAGATACTACCTTAAGACAGTGAGGTACAACCTTAAGACAGTGAGGTACAACCTTAAGACAGTGAGATACAACCTTAAGACAGTGAGGTACAACCTTAAGACAGTGAGATACAACCTTAAGGCAGTGAGATACAACCTTAAGACAGTGAGATACAACCTTAAGACAGTGAGATACAACCTTAAGACAGTGAGGTACAACCTTAAGACAGTGAGGTACAACCTTAAGACAGTGAGGTACAACCTTAAGACAGTGAGATACAACCTTAAGACAGTGAGATACAACCTTACGACAGTAAGGTACAACCTTAAGACAGTGAGATACAACCTTAAGACAGTGAGATACAACCTTCTCATTTAGGATCCCCCTCTCCTGTAGCTCTGGCGCCATGTAGAAGACTTGCAGGGGCGTGTCTTCGGGGATGGGCTGGAAGGTGACACAGCCAGACGAGCCAATGAGCAGGGTCTCCACAGATATGTAGGCAGCTGTTGACAGATGAGTGACATGTGGTAGTGGGGTCTCATGACATGTTGGTAGTGGGGTCTCATGTCATGTGGTAGTGGGGTCTCATGTCATGTAAGTGTAGGATCTCATGTCATGTGGTAGTGGGGTCTCATGACATATGGTAGTGGGGTCTCATGACATGTGGTAGTGGGGTCTCATGACATGTGGTAGTGTGGTCTCATGGCACGTGGTAGTGTGGTCTCATGTCATGTGGTAGTGGGGTCTCATGTCATGTTGTAGTAGGGTCTCATGTCATGTGGTAGTAGGGTCTCATGTCATGTGGTAGTGGGGTCTCGTGTCATGTGGTATTGGGGTCTCATGTCATGTGGTAGTGTGGTCTCATGTCATGTGGTAGTAGGGTCTCATGTCATGTTGGTAGTGGGGTCTCGTGTCATTTGGTTGTGTGGTCTCATGTCATGTTGGTAGTGGGGTCTCATGTCATGTTGGTTGTGGGGTCTCATGTCATTTGGTTGTGTGGTCTCATGTCATGTTGGTAGTGTGGCATCATGTCATGTTGGTAGTGTGGTCTCATGTCATGTTGGTAGTGGGGTCTCATATCATGTTGGTAGTGTGGCATCATGTCATGTTGGTAGTGTGGTCTCATGACATGTTGGTAGTGTGGCATCATGTCATGTTGGTAGTGTGGCATCATGTCATGTTGGTTGTGGGGTCTCATGTCATTTGGTTGTGTGGTCTCATGTCATGTTGGTAGTGGGGTCTCATGTCATGTTGGTTGTGGGGTCTCATGTCATTTGGTTGTGTGGTCTCATGTCATGTTGGTAGTGTGGCATCATATCATGTTGGTAGTGTGGTCTCATGTCATGTTGGTAGTGGGGTCTCATATCATGTTGGTAGTGTGGCATCATGTCATGTGGTAGTAGTGTCTCATGACATGTTGGTAGTAGGTTCTCATGTCATGTGGTAGTGTGGCATCATGTCATGTTGGTTGTGGGGTCTCATGTCATTTGGTTGTGTGGTCTCATGTCATGTTGGTAGTGTGGCATCATGTCATGTTGGTAGTGTGGTCTCATGTCATGTTGGTTGTGGGGTCTCATGTCATTTGGTTGTGTGGTCTCATGTCATGTTGGTAGTGGGGTCTCATGTCATGTTGGTTGTTGGGTCTCATGTCATTTGGTTGTGTGGTCTCATGTCATGTTGGTAGTGTGGCATCATGTCATGTTGGTAGTGTGGCATCATGTCATGTTGGTAGTGTGGCATCATGTCATGTTGGTAGTGTGGCATCATGTCATGTTGGTAGTAGGTTCTCATGTCATGTGGTAGTGGGGTCTCATGTCATGTGGTAGTAGGGTCTCATGTCATGTGGTAGTAGGGTCTCATAGCATGTGGTAGTGGGGTCTCATGTCATGTTGGTAGTAGGGCTCATGACATGTTGGTAATGTGGATTCATGTCATGTGGTAGTAGGGTCTCATGACATGTTGGTAGTGGGGACTCATGTCATGTGGTAGTAGGGTCTCATGTCATGTGGTAGTAGGGTCTCATGTCATGTGGTAGTGGGGTCTCATGTCATGTGGTAGTGGGGTCTCGTGTCATGTTGGTAGTAGGGTTTCATGTCATGTGGTAGTGTGGTCTCATGTCATGTGGTAGTGGGGTCTCATGTCATGTGGTAGTGTGGTCTCATGTCATGTGGTAGTGGGGTCTCATGTCATGTGGTAGTGGGGTCTCACGTAATGTGGTTATAGGGTCTCATGTCATGTGGTTGTAGGGTCTCATGTCATGTGGTAGTGGGGTCTCATGTCATGTGGTAGTGGGGTCTCATGTCATGTTGGTAGTAGGGTCTCATGTCATGTGGTAGTAGGGTCTCATGTCATGTGGTGGTGGGGTCTCATGTCATGTGGTAGTAGGGTCTCATGTCATGTGGTTGTAGGGTCTCATGTCATGTGGTAGTGTGGTCTCATGTCATGTGGTAGTGGGTTCTCATGTCATGTGGTAGTGTGGTCTCATGTCATGTTGGTTGTGGGGTCTCATGTCATTTGGTTGTGTGGTCTCATGTCATGTTGGTAGTGGGGTCTCATGTCATGTTGGTTGTGGGGTCTCATGTCATTTGGTTGTGTGGTCTCATGTCATGTTGGTAGTGTGGCATCATATCATGTTGGTAGTGTGGTCTCATGTCATGTTGGTAGTGGGGTCTCATATCATGTTGGTAGTGTGGCATCATGTCATGTGGTAGTAGTGTCTCATGACATGTTGGTAGTAGGTTCTCATGTCATGTGGTAGTGTGGCATCATGTCATGTTGGTTGTGGGGTCTCATGTCATTTGGTTGTGTGGTCTCATGTCATGTTGGTAGTGTGGCATCATGTCATGTTGGTAGTGTGGTCTCATGTCATGTTGGTTGTGGGGTCTCATGTCATTTGGTTGTGTGGTCTCATGTCATGTTGGTAGTGGGGTCTCATGTCATGTTGGTTGTTGGGTCTCATGTCATTTGGTTGTGTGGTCTCATGTCATGTTGGTAGTGTGGCATCATGTCATGTTGGTAGTGTGGCATCATGTCATGTTGGTAGTGTGGCATCATGTCATGTTGGTAGTGTGGCATCATGTCATGTTGGTAGTAGGTTCTCATGTCATGTGGTAGTGGGGTCTCATGTCATGTGGTAGTAGGGTCTCATGTCATGTGGTAGTAGGGTCTCATAGCATGTGGTAGTGGGGTCTCATGTCATGTTGGTAGTAGGGCTCATGACATGTTGGTAATGTGGATTCATGTCATGTGGTAGTAGGGTCTCATGACATGTTGGTAGTGTGGACTCATGTAATGTGGTAGTAGGGTCTCATGTCATGTGGTAGTAGGGTCTCATGACATGTTGGTTGTCGGGTCTCATGACATGTTGGTAGTGTGATCTCATGTCATGTTGGTAGTAGGGTCTCATGTCATGTGGTAGTAGGGTCTCATGTCATGTTGGTAGTGTGGCCTCATGTCATGTTGGTAGTGTGGCATCATGTCATGTTGGTAGTGTGGCATCATGTCATGTTGGTAGTGTGGCATCATGTCATGTTGGTAGTGTGGCATCATGTCATGTGGTTGTAGGGTCTCATGTCATGTGGTAGTGTGGTCGCATGTCATGTTGGTAGTGTGGCATCATGTCATGTTGGTAGTGTGGTCTCATGTCATGTGGTAGTGTGGTCTCATGTCATGTTGGTAGTGTGGCATCATGTCATGTTGGTAGTGTGACATCATGTCATGTTGGTTGTGGGGTCTCATGTCATTTGGTTGTGTGGTCTCATGTCATGTTGGTAGTGTGGCATCATGTCATGTTGGTAGTGTGGTCTCATGTCATGTTGGTTGTGGGGTCTCATGTCATTTGGTTGTGTGGTCTCATGTCATGTTGGTAGTGGGGTCTCATGTCATGTTGGTTGTTGGGTCTCATGTCATTTGGTTGTGTGGTCTCATGTCATGTTGGTAGTGTGGCATCATGTCATGTTGGTAGTGTGGCATCATGTCATGTTGGTAGTGTGGCATCATGTCATGTTGGTAGTGTGGCATCATGTCATGTTGGTAGTAGGTTCTCATGTCATGTGGTAGTGGGGTCTCATGTCATGTGGTAGTAGGGTCTCATGTCATGTGGTAGTAGGGTCTCATAGCATGTGGTAGTGGGGTCTCATGTCATGTTGGTAGTAGGGCTCATGACATGTTGGTAATGTGGATTCATGTCATGTGGTAGTAGGGTCTCATGACATGTTGGTAGTGTGGACTCATGTCATGTGGTAGTAGGGTCTCATGTCATGTGGTAGTAGGGTCTCATGACATGTTGGTTGTCGGGTCTCATGACATGTTGGTAGTGTGATCTCATGTCATGTTGGTAGTAGGGTCTCATGTCATGTGGTAGTAGGGTCTCATGTCATGTTGGTAGTGTGGTCTCATGTCATGTTGGTAGTGTGGCATCATGTCATGTTGGTAGTGTGGCATCATGTCATGTTGGTAGTGTGGCATCATGTCATGTTGGTAGTGTGGCATCATGTCATGTGGTTGTAGGGTCTCATGTCATGTGGTAGTGTGGTCGCATGTCATGTTGGTAGTGTGGCATCATGTCATGTTGGTAGTGTGGTCTCATGTCATGTGGTAGTGTGGTCTCATGTCATGTTGGTAGTGTGGCATCATGTCATGTTGGTAGTGTGACATCATGTCATGTTGGTGGTGAGGTCTCAAGTCCAATTGTAAGTTAAATGAACAACTAAATGAAATTGACGCAAATGAAACTCACGCAAATGTTTTTTCTTCCTTCTAAGTGAGGAGAGTGACTGGTTACAGAGTGACCACAACTCACGTTCAGAGAGGTCACGGTCAAGTCTGGTCAGGAGGTCGGCAAGAGACAGCACCTGGGCAGAGGTAGAACACATGGGTTACATGAGAACACATGGGTTACATGAGAACACCTGGGTTACATGAGAACACGTGGGTTACATCAGAACACGTGGGTTACATCAGAACACCTGGGTTACATCAGAACACCTGGGTTACATGAGAACACCTCTAGCAGGTGTAGGCCCTACGTCTGTCACACACATTGTGTGCACGTAAAACCTCAACAATCTAAACATCACTAGCCTACAGTAGCATGTAAAAAACATCACTAGCCTACAGTAGCACGTAAAAACATCACTAGCCTACAGTAGCACCTAAAAAACATCACTAGCCTACAGTAGCACGTAAAAAACATCATTTGCCTACAGTAGCACGTAAAAAACATCATTTGCCTACAGTAGCACGTAAAAAACATCACTTGCCTACAGTAGCACGTAAAAAAACCATCACTTTCCTACAGTAGCACGTAAAAAAACCATCACTTGCCTACAGTAGCACGTAAAAAAACCATCACTTTCCTACAGTAGCACGTAACAAAAAACATCACTTTCCTACAGTAGCACGTAACAAAAAACATCACTTTCCTACAGTAGCACGTAACAAAAAACATCACTTTCCTACAGTAGCACGTAACAAAAAACATCACTTTCCTACAGTAGCACGTTAGGCCTCAACAACTAACATACCTGTGTAGTCTGTGTCTGCACTATTTCAACAGTTTTGAGACAGTTGCCGTTGTCTGTTTGTGTAAGACAGTTGTCGTTGAAATCTTTCTTTGTGTTGGTCAACACTGGACTCGCTGGGAAAATAGAAGTTTTTTTCCCCATCTGTTTTTTTTGTCACTTAAAAACGTAATTTTCAGTAAGAAGCGTCTTGAATCTAAATATTTAAGTATAACTTTCTTACACCCTAGAGCCTTGTTACACGCCCCTAGAGCCTTGTTACCCGGTCCCTAGAGCCTTGTTACACGCCCCTAGAGTCTTGTTACACGCTCTTATAGCCTTGTTACACGCCCTTATAGCGTTGTTACACGTCCTTATAGCCTTGTTACACGCACCCTAGAGCCTTGTTACACGCCCCCTAGAGCCTTGTTACACGCCCCCTAGAGCCTTGTTACACGCCTTTATAGCCTTGTTACACGCCCCCTAGAGCCTTGTTACACGCCCTTATAGCCTTGTTACACGCCCCTAGAGCCTTGATACACGCCCCCTAGAGCCTTGTTACACGCCCCTAGAGCCTTGTTACACGCCCTTATAGCCTTGTTACACGCCCTTATAGCCTTGTTACACGCCCCCTAGAGCCTTGTTACACGCCCCCTAGAGCCTTGTTACACGCCCCCTAGAGCCTTGCTACACGCCCCTAGAGCCTTGTTACACGCCCCTAGAGCCTTGTTACACGCCCCTAGAGCCTTGATACACGCCCCCTAGAGCCTTGTTACACGCCCCTAGAGCCTTGTTACACGCCCTTATAGCCTTGTTACACGCCCTTATAGCCTTGTTACACGCCCTTATAGCCTTGTTACACGCCCCCTAGAGCCTTGTTACACGCCCTTATAGCCTTGTTACACGCCCCCTAGAGCCTTGTTACACGCCCCTAGAGCCTTGTTACACGCCCCTAGAGCCTTGTTACACGCCCCCTAGAGCCTTGTTACACGCCCCTAGAGCCTTGTTACACGCCCCTAGAGCCTTGTTACACGCCCCTAGAGCCTTGTTACACGCCCCTAGAGCCTTGTTACACGCCCCTAGAGCCTTGTTACACGCCCCTAGAGCCTTGTTACACGCCCCTATAGCCTGTTACACGCCCTTATAGCACAGCCCTATGACGAGTCAAAAGTTGCGACTTGCCTGTGACGTCAGAAGTTTCCTGTTTGTCCAGACCAACGATTCTCAAACAAATCTCCTGAGAGTCCTGACCCTTGAGACCTGCACTACAGGCAGAGAGAACAGCCTCAAGGTCAGGTCGAAGGTCAACATCTTCATTGGTTAGCGAGGCCAGCAGGTCGGTGAAGGCGTCGCTCAGCTGCGCCTGGGGGTCGGCACTCCGGGTGTTAAACTCGGTCACGTAGAGGAGGGTCATGCCAAGTGAGAAGAGGTGAGACTGTGGACGAAGTGAGAACAGGTGAGACTGTGGACCAAGTGAGAACAGGTAGACTGTGGACCAAGTGAGAACAGGTGAGACTGTGGACCAAGTGAGAACAGGTGAGACTGTGGACCAAGTGAGAACAGGTGAGAATGTGGACCAAGTGAGAACAGGTGAGACTGTGGACCAAGTGAGAACAGGTGAGACTGTGGACCAAGTGAGAACAGGTGAGACAGTGGACCAAGTGAGAACAGGTGAGACTGTGGACCAAGTGAGAACAGGTGAGACTGTGGACCAAGTGAGAACAGGTGAGACTGTGGACCAAGTGAGAACAGGTGAGACTGTGGACCAAGTGAGAACAGGTGAGACTGTGGACCAAGTGAGAACAGGTAGACTGTGGACCAAGTGAGAACAGGTAGACTGTGGACCAAGTGAGAACAGGTGAGACTGTGGACCAAGTGAGAACAGGTGAGACTGTGGACCAAGTGAGAACAGGTGAGACTGTGGACCAAGTGAGAACAGGTGAGACTGTGGACCAAGTGAGAACAGATGAGACTGTGGACCAAGTGAGAACAGGTGAGACTGTGGACCAAGTGAGAACAGGTAGACTGTGGACCAAGTGAGAACAGGTGAGACTGTGGACCAAGTGAGAACAGGTGAGACTGTGGACCAAGTGAGAACAGGTGAGACTGTGGACCAATTGAGAACAGGTGAGACTGGACCAAGTGAGAACAGGTGAGACTGTGGACCAAGTGAGAACAGGTGAGACTGTGGACCAAGTGAGAACAGGTGAGACTGTGGACCAAGTGAGAACAGGTGAGACTGTGGACCAAGTGAGAACAGGTAGACTGTGGACCAAGTTAGAACAGGTGAGACTGTGGACCTAGTGAGAACAGGTGAGAACAGGTGATACTGTGGACCAAGTGAGAACAGGTGAGACTGTGGACCAAGTGAGAACAGGTGAGACTGTGGACCAAGTGAGAACAGGTAGACTGTGGACCAAATGAGAACAGGTAGACTGTGGACCAAGTGAGACTCACCTTGTAAGAATTTCCACCAGCTTCCGGCGAGACAAACATCGGATCGGGCTCTGGAAGAAAATTTTTAGACATAAATACTTACACATAGACATATATATATATATATATATATATATATATATATATATATATATATATATATATATATATATATATATATATATATATATATATATATATATATATATATATATATATATATATATATATATATATATATATATATAAGCATACATAAAATAAATAAATAATTAAACAAATACATAAATAAGTAAATAAATGAATGAATGAATGAATGAATGAATGAATGAATGAATGAATGAATGAATGAATGAATGAATGAATGAATGAATGAATGAATGAATGGATGAATGAATGAATGGATGAATGGATGAATGAATGAATGAATGAATGAATGAATGAATGAATGAATGAATGAATGAATGAATGAATGAATGAATTAATTAATTAATTAATTAATTAATGTATAAATAAATAAATGAATAAATAAATAAATAAATATATATATATATATATAAAGGAATCAACTGACCCATATCCAGGTCTAGAAAACAGACATTTCCCTCAGGGTCAAAGGCCACCGTGTCGGGGCTGATACAGAGCGACATGAATAGGTCGACGCAGTCGTGCACGTACTCCAAGGTGAGGCAGCACTCACGACACAGGGCCCACAGCTCCGTCTCGTGCAGGTAGTGGTTCCTGCTGGCCATCACTTCAGACAGCGAGGCCGTTGGCATTTCCTCCATCTCGGCGCCCATCTTTAATTCATCCATGGATGATGGACTAACCCCATCCATGGATGATGGACTATCGCCGTCCAGTGGTGTAGATTGATCCATCTCAGAGCCCCATGTCTATTTGTCGTGTTCTAGAGAAAAACGTTCACACATAAGTTCTAGAGAAAAAATAAACATTCACACAGATGTTCTAGAGAAAAACATTCACACAGATGTTCTAGAGAAAAACATTCACACAGATGTTCTAGAGAAAAACATTCACACAGAAGTTCTAGAGAAAAAATAAACATTCACACAGATGTTCTAGAGAAAAACATTCACACAGAAGTTCTAGAGAAAAACATTCACACAGATGTTCTAGAGAAAAACATTCACACAGAAGTTCTAGAGAAAAAATAAACATTCACACAGATGTTCTAGAGAAAAACATTCACACAGAAGTTCTAGAGAAAAACATTCACACAGAAGTTCTAGAGAAAAAATAAACATTCACACAGATGTTCTAGAGAAAAACATTCACACAGAAGTTCTAGAGAAAAACAAACATTCACACAAAGTGCAACAGTTTAGCAGGATCTCACAATAGGAACGTAGGAACCTTTTCATAACTCCTGAGGTCGTAGACCGACCCTCGGGGGTGGCAAAAAAAAAACTTATGATATGTTCCGGAAAACCCCGGAAGACCTTTAGAACCGACCGGTCCGAATTTTCCCTGAATAAACTTTGTTAATTTGGTGAAAAACGATAATTATTTTCAAAACAGTGTTTCGGTACTTCGGCTCCGTACATCTGGCTCAACTTTTCGATAAACCTGGGTAAATGAATCGGCCTTATGGGTAAACTATCGGTCAGCCTCTACTCGTACGGCGAGGGCTAAAAAGTGACCGCGAGTTAAATTCTCCTCATATGAGCTATATTTAAAAAAATGCCGAACGATCCCCCTGATATTTTGTGAGGTCGTAGATCGACCCTGGAGGGTAACAAAAAACTTTATTCCATTCGGATAAAGCCATTATTATAGTCGTTAAATATGTCCAGAAACCGTATTTTCTTATATAAGCATAGCAACAATTTGTTAAGAAAAAAGTAAACAAAGACATACGTCATTCGTTCAATTTTCAAGGGAGGTAACCTTTTTAAAATAATTATTTTTCAAATAATTGTATACTATTTTAAACATAAACAGAAAATGACGAAGTATAGCATTTGTTTCACTAAAAATTTAAGTTATTAATTAAGGTTCGTATCCTAATTAAATAAATAAATAAATTTTAAAAGTCAATGTAATATAAATTATGAGATATACTGTTCATGGAACATCTGTAGTTCTATTTCCATTTTAGTCATACGTTTGCGAACTTCCTAATATTTTCTCTGAAAACGGAATTTAATCAACAAACAACAACAACATATTCTCTAAAGGGGCCCAACGGGATAGCAAACCAGCGGCTGGAAAGTTTGGCGTTAAAAGACCACCACCATCCAGCCCTCCAGAAACAGATGTTCGAAAGAAAACCCCAAATAATTCATGCTAACTCTGGCAACATTGAACATCAGGGGGGCTAGGGACAAACACATTATATAAACAACATAATAAATAAACACAATATTGACATCCTACTTTTACAGGAAACTAACATTTAAGTGCATTAGTCTGATTTGTGAAAATCAGTATCATATTGTCTCTGCCGTAAGACGTTTAACCTCATATTGGTCAAAAGAATATAAAACATGAAAGCTTTCTGTAAAAAAAAAAAAAAAAAAAAAAAAAAAAAAACATATTCTCTAAAATTAGCATTACTGTTTAAAATTAAGCACTCCACACCTCAGTCATCACTAAATAATTAATTATTCAAATTCTCAAGTGTTTTTGAAAACCTAAGCGAAGCTAGGCAGTATGCTTTTATTGTAAAAAGTTTAAGCAGTTAAAAATGGATTACAAATATTGTCTATGTCCTGAGTTGCCATCCCCCGTAGTGTTATATTAGAATATTCGAGAAAGTTTAGGTGAGATCACACCCGGTTTATGTATTTTGTGTTTAGAATAGGTGTAGAGAGTGTAGATATTATTGCATTCTTTTAGTTTTAACGAGCCTTTGTTTTCATATATACGACACCGAAATACTTCAACACACAGGCCTCACATTTCCACAGAATGTCCCTCCCTGTCCACAAACGTTCACGAACAAACAACAAATTCAAAATTTTGCATTAAACCAAAGACCACATACTACACACAAGAAGATAGTCCCTGATACAACAATAACTAACATTCGCGCCATGAAACAAAGTGGAACTACACACCAAAACAAAGTTGGAATAAATAATAACATCAAAATGTAAACAAGACAAACAAAGCAACCTTAAATAGTTTTAAAATCAAAATCATATCCGCGCCATAATAGCGGACTACTTAACTAAAAACCACAACAATTCTTAACAGGAACACAAAAAAGCGACATTCGCATTTTTGTAATACAATAATTATGATAATTAAATAGCTCTCCAGTCCCTTACACTAATAAAAATTATTTCACCCCCCCCCCCCATGTAATTTTTTTTAAAAAAGGGAAGTAATATTTTGTGTGTGATCTATCAAGGGAAGTAATAAGCAATAAAGGAACAAAGTAAAGTAATTTGTAAAGTTTTTAAATTTTTGTGAAAGATGAAACATTTTCTTTGACTTCGTTTATTCCATACGACGTTAATTAAAATGATTCGTTTTGAAAATGAATCTTTTTTTTTACAACATCATCGATGTTAATATTGGTATGACAAGTCAAGAAATATATGCTCGTCAATTTATAAAGAGAAAATATGCGCAATGAACTACTTTGACATAAGAAGCCTTCAGGGGACGATAAGCCAGAAGGATTTTAAAAGCTAAAAATAATTCTCTCATCAACTCAAGATAGTTTTGTCATGAGCGGGAAGGCGACTATTTAAAGCATTTTGTTTGTAGTTGTTAAGATCTTTATCTGTAGAGGATCAACTCTAATCAGCAGGGGTTGTTTGATGTTGGGCCAAGGGGGTGAGGGGGGGGGGTATTCGGATCCAACGTCCTCGGTGCTGGGGGACTTAGGTAGGTGGTTCGCTCTCAGGGTGGGGAAAAATATCTCCCCATCCCCCACCCAAACTACAACAAGTTGGATCAGTGGTGTCGCTAGGTCGGGTGTCACTTCGTGGTGTCACCCCCCTCCAAGAAACAATATATATATATATATATATATATAAATATATATATATATATATATATATATATATATATATATATATATATATATATATATATATATATATATATATATATATATATATATGCGTGTCTGTGTGCCGTCACTTAATAATAACGATGTGTATCTATAATCTGTTAATAATACAGTGGATTTAGCATTCTTTTCTCTATTGTTAGCACGTTTACGTCATGGCGTCACCCCACCCTCTTGTAATAATTGTCGATTTGTACTTAAAAGACTATTTAACTTTAATTAATAAAAAAATGGAACTAGCAAAAACCATTTTCTTCTTTACCTTTTGCAATTGTTTTGCCTCAATGTCAAGCCCCCATAAATGGTGTCACCCGGTGCGACCCGCCCCCCACCCCCAGTCCCGCCCTCGCTACGCCTCTGAGTTGGCTGGCCATCAGGTCGGGCCAACAAGTAAGATGGCCATCAGAAAGCTAGAATGACACTTGACGACTAGAGATCAACGATTTGACCACAAGCCTCTCTTATCACCAATTGACCAATCGCGTTGCTTGGAGTTTTGTATAACTGGTCCTGTTCGTCAGCTTTCCAGCGTTTTCTAAACTGTCATGTCACATATGACACTGTCATGTCTCATCTGACACTGGCACGTTACATGAGCAAGTCTCACACCATTTAGGAAACCTTTACACAAGGATGTGTAGAAGTGTTTTCACCAACCTCAATACCCAGGTCACAAGATTGTCTTAGTTTCAGTCTGACTACTTAACTATCTGCATAAGGGTCAAGGACAGCCACACGAACTATCTGCATAAAGGTCAAGGATGAATGTCGGGATTTGTAACAAACTCACACAGTACCACGTGACGTTTGCTCGCTTACTGCAGACAGCGAGCAGCCATAAGTCCAGCAGTCAAGTGACCCCCCAACCAGCGGGCAGCCTGTCCCAGATGCCCGGCCCTGGGGGGCTGAAGAAGCTGCCCTACCTAGGGACGCGCCTGCTCTTCCAGCCCTTCAGCCGCTTCACGCCCGAGTCTCTAGGCGAGCTGGTCAACTCGCTACACGACAAGTACGGCGCCATCTTCAAGACGCGGCTGGGCCAGCACTACTCCGTCCACACGGACTCGGCGCGTGACGCCGAGGCCGTCTTCCGGTCAGACGGCCCCTACCCCCTGCGTCGCCTCATGCTGCTCAGTAAGGTGTACCGGGAACGAAACGGTCTGCCCCCTGCCCTGGGCACCGTGTCTGGCCCCGCCTGGCAGGCCCTGAGAAGCCCACTCAACCCACTCCTCAACACGCCCCAGGTCTGTCTGCACTACCTGCCCGCCCAGAACCAGGTGGCAGACGACTTGGTCTCCAGGCTCCAAGAGAATCTGAGCGCCGCCTGCCAGTCTGAACTCTTCTTCAAGTTCGCGGCCGAGAGTATCGCAGTCGTCTGCTTCAACCAGCGGCTGGGCTTCCTGCAGGACTCACAGGGGGAGCAGCTGCTGGCGGCCTTCAAGTTCGTGCTGCACGCGACCTTCACCTCCATGATTGGCATAGAGAGGCGCTACTTGCTGACGTCATATGACGCCTTCTACCGGAAGTACGAGGCGGCCATGCGGTACATCCGACAGCAAGCATCGCGCTACGTCGAGAAGGTCAAGGTTGAGGTACAGACAGCAGACGGCATGGAGTCAAACCTGCTGGCCTCCCTCGTCGTTAGAAGCAACCTCCAGCTGGAGCAGATTTTGGCCATCATCGACTCCATGCTGATAGCTGGCACTGATTCGACTGCCAGAAATCTGGCCATCTTGTTGTACAACCTGGCCAGAAACCCCGAGCAGCAGGAAAAAGCCCGGACAGAAATAGTTGAGCTGATTGGTCAGGACGGTCCAGTGACGTCAGCAGCCATGGCCAAGATGCAGTACGTGAAGGCGTGCCTGAAGGAGTCCATGAGGCTCAACTTCCCGCTGGCCAACGGCACGGAGAGGATCCTGGCACGCGAGACTCTGCTGAGCGGCTACCTCGTCCCACAGGGCACCAGCGTCATCATGTCCAGCAGCCGCAGCTCTCGTGACCCCCGGCACTTCCCCGAGCCGGAGAAATTCCTGCCGGAGCGCTGGCTGCGGCAGGACGTTGACAGGAGGATCGACCCGTTCGCCACACTGCCGTTTGGCCATGGAGCCAGGAGCTGTATTGGCCGCAGGTTCGCCGAGATGGAGCTGCTGGTGGCCATGGCCAAACTGCTCCAAAAGCTGCGTGTCCAGCTGCTGGAGCCGGAGCTGCGTCTAGAGGTAATCTACACGCCCTTCATTACACCCAAACAACCAATCCACTTCCGCTTCTCAAGCATCCACTGAACGTTGTCAGCATCAAGTCAACTTTCGGATGTGTACTAGAGACATCGGCGTAGGCAAGGAGGCGCTCGGGGGGTCATAAAACTCCTCCTATTGACCCCCATTCAAAGCTTCAATGTCACAGAACACTTTCTTAAATTATATATATATATATATATATATATATATATATATATATATATATATATATATATACATATATATATGTCGTTTTCTTTAAATAGATAATAGTACACCAGTATTTAGATAACTATAAAGAAAAGCGTTGGTCTCTTTCTAAATATTAGTCAAGGTATCCAATAGATAATAAAGTGGCCCACGCTTTTCTTTATAGTTATTTCAATAGTAGTGTATTATTTTATATTTAAAGAAAATAATTTCTTTTTTACTTTTTAGTGCATTATTACATAAAAGCTTTTTAATAAAACGTTTTTATGCATTTTTTACAAGCTCTTTTTGCAAGCTTCACTGTCTCTGTCGCCAGTCTGTCTGTCTGTCTAGCTAGATCGAAACGACCCAGAAAATTTTTTTGGACACTTTAAACTAATGGCACGTAGGTCAAGACATGAAGACAATGCTACAAGACACTAAATTTGACGAAATTGGTTGCCTAATTAATTTTTTATGAATTAATTCAAATTGTGTCCAAATTAGTAGGCTGTCTCATCAAACTATTCCGCACTATTAGACACGCGTCATCCCGTTCATTAGGTGCGCATGGTTTTTAGTCATGCAACTCTATTGTAAATTTTTAAAAATTTAAGTACTGAAATTTTTTTTCAGGAAAAACGTTTTAATTACAAGCTTTTATGTAATTATGCACTAAAAAGTAGAAAATAAATTATACACTACTATTTAAATTACTATAAAGAAAAGCGTGGGTCTCTTCCTTTTTAAAGCATTATTAGATAATAGCTTGTTATTAAAACGTTTTTCTATGAATTTTTAAAATTTAACTTGCTTCCTCGTCTGTATGTCTGTATGTCTGTCATCATAGATCGAAACGCTCGAGCGAAATTTCGGGCACTTCTAACTGACAGAGTCGTTTCAAAGTTGGCACGTGGGTCAAGACATGAAGACAATGCAATCTGACATTAAATTTGACTTAATTGGATGCCTAATTTATTTTTACTTTCTCGTAGTATACAGAGTATAGAGGAAGTATTGTAATCGAGCACAAAAATCTCATGAAATTTTGACAGTTTTCATCGTTTTACTTGATCATATACGGAGCTTAGGGGACTTATTTTAATCGGGCAAAAATTATAAACGCAGATTTATCAGAATTTCAGCGTTCTATGTGTAATCCAGTAGGAACAATTGGGCTTTGCAACTCTGTCCGTATGTCTGTGTGTGTATGTCTGTCTGTGAATACGATAACTTGAGTACCGTTACGGCTAGGTTGATGAAATTTTATATACAGGTATTGTATCAAATTTCTAGTTCTGTATCAACTTTTCAGCGATTTCCGGTAACCGAAAGTGGAATTTATTATACTTTTGGTTTTTCAAAAGCCTATAATTCAACTATTATTGCAGATAGTTAAACAAAATTTCACAAATAAGTAAAACATCTAATTTTCTGCCTTCTCTCAAATCTTGAGTAATTTCTTTTGACCGGAAGTTGTAATTTACGCTATTTCCGATTTCTCAAAAAAAAAAAAACGTGTGAATTTATAAAAAACTAATAATATTCCGCACTATTATACGCATACTGTTTGGCGTTCAGTTGGTGCGCAAATCTTTTTTTTTCTACTAGATTCTATGCTATTTTAAAAAAGTTTAAGTAATTAAAAATGGATTGAAAATCATGTCTATATTCTGAGTTGCCATCCCACGTAGTGTTATATGAGAATATTCGAGAAAGTTTAGGCGAGATCACTCCGGGTTTATTAGTCATGAAACTCTACTGTAAATTAAAGCACAAAAAAATTGTATAAAAACATTTTTTTAATAACAAACTTTTATGTTATAACTAGCCAAGGGAACCCATTTCACGTGAACTATAAGCCTATATATTTTTAGTGTTATACTTGTTTGGAAAAAATAATGTATGAAATAGTTATTGGTCAAAACGCAATGTGCTTTACTACATGTTGAACGATTTTAGTGACAAAGCAAAGAAAAAACTAAGTAGCTAAAAATCTGACACATTAAAAATAACATGGTCTACAATACCTACTATTAGAAAAAAAATTAAAACCAAATTATATACTTTATTAGTCAACACAACACTAGAATAAATCATAATTAAATGCACAACTTGATCAAAAGACTTAAATGATTCCGTTAAAAACCCGGCTGTTCAATGGTATTTATGTGTTTTTTTTAAAAGAAATTTTTATTAGGTCCGGCCGAGAAAACTGTAAACATTTCATAGCGTACGTCTTGATAAGCAGATCTATAGATCTAAGTGAATGAAATATTTCATATCTTCATATTCTAAAATTTTAATTAGAGCCCGACCCTAGGTCAGATCCGTCCATGACGGTACACTCGGCCCCGTCTAGCCGAGCCCCGAAGGCTCCAATTCTGCTCCGCCCCAGAGTGGAATCCAATCCTCGGTGTGGTCGTCAAGACCCCCAGACTCTCACGGCCTATACTGGCCAGTACATGAACATGCCTCCGCATTTCATTTTAATTACCTGGCCGGCTATTCAAGCGCGCTGGTGACCTTTCTCCTCGATGGGCCAAACACGGGTAATGATCCCTTGGGATCGTAACAATATATATATATATATATATATATATATATATATATATATATATATATATATATATATATATATATATATATATATATATATAATTTCTTTGAGGGTGGGGGTGACACAATTAGGAGCCGCACCAGGTAACACCCGACCAACCGACGCCACTATGAAGGCCTATTTATTAAATATTCAGAGTTAGAAATCAACACACAATTTATTATCTTTACGTATTGTTGAGTCCAAAGAACCAGTATTGACAAGTATTATCAAGTACGTAGTTTTTAATTTGAAACAAAAGTTGAATGAGGTAGATTCAAACATTTGTCATGTTTTAAAAGTCGTGTCACAAAAGTCATGTCACAAAAGTCGTGTCACAAAAGTCGTGTCACAAAAGTCGTGTAAAAAAAGACGTGTCACAAAAGTCGTGTCAAAAAAGACGTGTCACAAAAGTCATGTCACAAAAGTCGTGTCACAAAAGTCGTGTCACAAAAGTCGTGTCACAAAAGTCGTGTCACAAAAGTCGTGTCACAAAAGTCGTGTCTGTCTTCTGTTGTTTATTTAACGTGTGGCCGTCTAGATAGACGAACCCATAGTCCACGCGTGGACACCCCCTTGCCTTCCCTCCCCACCACCCTACCCCCGTCTGCATGGACTTCACGAATGGGTCAGCAGTTTCAGATTTCGAATGCCATATGATCAACAATTTTAGGCTCTTAAAATCCTTTTAAAATTACCCCCACACACACACAGACAGACACACACACATACATACAAATTCCTAGACTTGTACGTGTTAATGTGGCCTAGAACAAAGTGTGTGTGTGTGTGTGTGTGTGTGTTAATGTGTTGGTTCGCTTCAGCGTCATTCAAGCGTTCATTGACTCGAGACTCTCAAAAGCCCAAGAATTTAATACCTGTCTAAATCAATCGATAGAATATTGATACGGCGCTAGAGCCCAATGTAGGCCACCGCTTAAACATGTACACTCTCGTGTACACACGTAGACTATTATACTCAAGTGGTGTGTACAGGTGTACACACGTAGACTATTATACTCAAGTGGTGTGTACAGAGTCAGCTACACGTCAAAGTAGTGCAGTTAGACGACATGTTGTTTTTACTTCATTATATTACACACACAGTTATATTACACACACACACAGTTATATTACACACACACACAGTTATATTACACACACACAGTTATATTACACACACAGTTATATTACACACCCAGTTATATCAGTCCCTTTCTAAACCTTGTATCTAAAATTGTATAATAGATTTAGGTAACACAAGGTATATCCCAGGTGTAAAACAAGTAGATAATAGGCATTTATCGTGTATATAGCGGATATATAGCGGATATATAAAAGTATGTGGCATGTAAATAGTGGCATATTATTAGAAAATAGTTGTAAAACAGGCACATAAAAAGTAAACTAAAACAATAACACGCTCATAAAGAGTAAACTAAAACAACACGCACATAAAGAGTAAACTAAAACAATTACACGCACATAAAGAGTAAACTAAAACAATTACACGCACATAAAGAGTAAACTAAAACAATAACACGCACATAAAGAGTAAACTAAAACAATAACACGCACAAAAAGAGTAAACTAAAACAACACGCACATAAAGAGTAAACTAAAACAATTACACGCACAAAAAGAGTAAACTAAAACAATAACACGCACAAAAAGATTAAACTAAAACAATAACACGCACATAAAGAGTAAACTAAAACAATGACACGCACATAAAGAGTAAACTAAAACAATAAAAAACAATTAACTTATGGGGACATAACCAGTATAGCGAATATATAGACTAGAGTATCAAATTCGGAGGGGGTGTTCAAAATTTGAAGGTGTTTATAGCTTATAGAGGTGTTCAAAATCTGGAGGTGTTTTTAGCTTATAGAGGTGTTCAAAATTTGGAGGTGTTTATAACTTATAGAGGTGTTCAAAATCTGGAGGTGTTTTTAGCTTATAGTGGTGTTCAAAATTTGGAGGTGTTTATAACTTATAGAGGTGTTCAAAATCTGGAGGTTTTTAAAACTTAGAGGTGTTCAAAATCTGGAGGTGTTTAAAACTTAGAGGTGTTCAATATTTGGAGGTGTTTAAAACTTAGAGGTGTTCAAAATTTGGAGGTGTTTAAAACTTAGAGGTGTTCAAAATTTGAAGGTGTTTAAAACTTAGAGGTGTTCAAAATTTGAAGGTGTTTAAAACTTAGAGGTGTTCAAAATTTGAAGGTGTTTAAAACTTAGAGGCGTTCAAAATTTGAAGGTGTTTAAAACTTAGAGGTGTTCAAAACTTGGAGGTGTTTAAAATTTGAAGGTGTGTATTTTAAAAGAAGGCTACTTACATTCAGACTTGTGGCGGTGCTAGACAAAGGTGTATAT